TCATCCCTGCTGCAGCCCTTCTGGGTGAGGCACCCACAAACATCCTGGCACGGGGAGCTGCTCTGGACACTGAGGTGTACACTCCCACATTTCTGCAGAGCGGCCTGTGCCTCACCTGCTCTCCGGGGTGTCCAGGAGGTGCTGGGTCCTTCACATGCATGGTGACAAACGCAGGTGGAAGGTGCCCGTCAGCGACTGCCTACATGTGCAGCCGTCCTTGGGGGTCACAGCCCTCCCGGGCAGTGACTCTCAGCTACAGAGTGCAAAATAAAAGTGACCTGAGGGTGTGCAAGGCTTACACATTTATTACAGTTAATGTGAGCTTTCTTTTAAAGGCTTCTGTGGCAGTGTTAGCAACAAATTCATAAAGCTTAATTTTTATACAAATAGTTTTATTACAAATTTGAATTTTTAAGAAATACACATGTAAAGAAATTACAGGAAAGGCCTTAGTAGTCTTGAAAAAGTTTCGGAGACTTTAGGTGAAACGTCATTTCAAGCATAGTGGTCCGAATCTGCCCTCCGGCACACGTGGCTCCCCGCTCCCGGAAGTGGCCCGCAAGTGCCTGAGCGGAAACGCCGACACTGGCTCCGCAGCACTCTCCCCACACCGGCCGCGAGTGGGGTGCTACTGCAAGGCAGGCCTGACCGTGGGTGCTTCTGAGGTCAAGTCTTTCAGTTTGTGGTTAGTGTTTAAAACCCTGAAAGTATTCAATAGAGTCAAAGCCATCAGCTCAAAGTGCACATTCCATTGGCCAGAGACACCGTGTGCACCAACCCAGGCTTGCTTTGGGCCACACATTATTTTGGTTTGGAAGTGGACAAGGAAAGCAGGTGTTTCACATTTGGTATCAGAGTGTTTGAAAATCTGTGTTAAAGGACAGCACAGTCTTTGCAAGAAGAGAACTAGGTAAGCTTTATTTGAACAGTGGAGTTACACTAGGATTCGACCTGCCTAATTGCTGACATCTATATAAATTACTAAAATATATATATATTTAATTTCTCACTACGTTTGGACCATCTTTATTCCACAGGAAAGTTGGGGCTTCTGCCGGAGGAGCTGCGTAGTACCACACAGAGCGGAGAGACACGAATTTGTGCTCGGGGGCTGGGAGGGACAGATGGTTCACGAGTCCGGCAGAGCGTTTGGAGCTTTGCTCTTACATCTCTGTGATTCGCACAGACCGGGGCCCTGGACTTGGGAACACTAGACATGCCCTAGAGACACTCGTATGGGGCAGAAAATTCCTCTATTACAATACGAGGCTGAGCACGGGCAGGCGGGCAGGCGGTGGCACCGCGCCCCTAGCACCTTGGCGCTCCGGCTTCACACATCAGTGCTCGAGTCGGAGCAGGGTTGGAATTCTATTCATCGCAAGTGCCATCTGGATGCCACTATGGGAAGCTTATCGTTGCCTTCTTCTCCTTCAGCAAGCACAGGCCAGTGAAGCGGGCGTGTTAGTTACGCACATTCCTATAAGGCACTTTACGGTTTCATACGGACAGTGAGGTACACAGGATATACTTCTAGGGTTCGTTGCTGTTAAACATAAAGGAGGAGCGGCGGCGGCGGAGGAGGAAGAGTAGCACCATTTGTGACGCGGCTGGGGCGGCCTCGCTATGTTCTTCGCATGCACACTTGGCAGCGGCTGACGTGGGTACGAAGCTCTCCGGCCTTCAAGGTGGACGGTGTGGGCTTCCTGCAAGGACAAGGGCTCTCAGCGCTGGCATCGGCCTCGCGCCAACCTGAGGACCACCCGGGACCGCGACCCACCCTCAGTGGCCTGAGCCACCAGCCTGGCTGCCCCTGCCCCTTGTGGGGAGCTTAACTTCTGTCTTCTCAGCTAGACTAGGGATCCCTGAGCAAGGAGGAGGCGCGGCCTTTTGCACCCACTCCACACCCCTGCGAGTGCTCGGTGAGCACCGTGGGGTGCTGCGCTGAGTAACAAGCCCTCCGAGATTAAGCAGACCTCCAGACACCTTTGGAACCTTGGGAGGACCGGTATGCACGGTCCGATCTGAGGCCAAAGAGCAGAAAAGACTTAGAGGTCTCCAATTTGTCTTCATCCTAGAGATCACCGTATTTGGGTGGCTAGAAAGGTGCCATCTGCACTAAAGCTGCTCCTATACAAATTCTGTTCAAAGTAAACTAGCCAACACGAATGCCTTCTCCGAAAACGGGGGTTCTTACTCTAACACCTTTCAAAATGCAAACTCCAGTAGCCCCAAATTATTTCAGTTGATGGGATTTTACCTAATTTTCTCTGAAAAGTTGCTTTACTTCATTGCTGTTGGTTCAAAATAATAATAGTAATAATCCCACTTTCTCTCTATTGGGCCTGTAGGCAAGCTGGGGTGACCCTGGGGACATCAGCGAGCCACTCTGGAGCTAAGAGTCACCTCTGTGGGGTGGATGTTGCGCACCCAGGAGCTACACACCAGCGACTGGCCGAGCCCCTGGCTGCATTCTAGAGAACTACAAGGGGCGGCTGCGGCACCTTGCTGGACAGAGATGGGGCCGTGGGGACACGGAGCCCTAACTCTCCACAGCGGGGGTTGGGCTCGCCTGGTGGGGGAGAGGCATACAAGGAACTGTCTGGCCGCGGGGGCACCTCCTGCACTGCTGCAGGATGTGTGGAGGGGCCCTTAGGTGCCCCTGCTCATGTGGAGGGATGGGACGGCTACACGCTGACACCTGCGAGGTCACCTGGGGACCCCCTGGGGACGGGTTTCAAGGTGAGGTGCTGACGACCGGGACAGAAGCAGCGGCCGTGCCGTCAGCGTCAGCACGTTGGTACCAGAGCTGTGCTACTTGCATAGATCGGAGGTGCCCTCGCTATGTGCACAGGGCTCCTGCAGCACACGGGACACTCAGCGCCCCAGCCGCCCTGGACACAGCGTGCTGCAGGCCCCAGGGGTAAAGAGACAGCACAGAAACCTGCTTCCGCTTGAAGACTTGGGTGGCTTTCATCACATTTAGGACATTCACCCACAACATGGAAACCGACCGCCTTTCTTGCCTGGTGCTTTGGGGAAGGGGTGGTGGAATGAAGCCTGTCACCTACGCTTGCCTTGAAAGTCCCTCGGCCCCGGACCCCGGAACAGACTCAGGAGTCCACCCCTCCAGCAGAGCAGCGGCCTGCAAGACTGTGAAACCGCGGGCGCAGAGGGGCCGGCGCCCCACTCACTTGAACATCTCGCTCCTCTCGACGGTGGCGAGCCAGAAGCTGTAAGCGTTGGCGTAGTAGTTGCAGGTGCCCCGGCCGTGACACTCGATGAAGGGCGCGCTCCTGAACTCCTCCAGACAGGACCCGGGGGACGCCAGGGCCTGGCCGGATCCCTCGGCGCCGGCGCTGGTGTGCTGTGAGCAAAGGGACCGTGAGCGGGGTCCCGCCCGGACCGTGCCATCCCCTGCACAGCCCAGTGCTCTGCCCTCGTGGGCCGCAGGGGACTCGCTGTCCCCAGACACCCTCCCAGCCCTGGCAGCCACAGTACCGCATGGGCACCAGGGCTCAGCCCACAGCTTCCCTTCCCCTGCCGAAGGAACACCAAGGCAAATGCCCCTGTGTGGGTCCAGGGTGAGGAGCTGGAAACTCAGGCCAACCCCGTTCTTACACACCCAGCACTAATCAGTAGTTTCCAGTGAAATAATAAAATACGTCAGATGAGCCCCTGAAGCAGGTACCATGTTTCTTGTTTGATTAGTTTCGGGGAAAGGAACTTCTGGGGGTCTAACCTCGGAGCAGCTGGGTTACACTGTGCACGGCAGGTTCTAAGTTCCAAGCTGGGAGCACCCTCCTCCAGTCACATATTGCAGCCAGTGCACCAGCCCTTTCTGCCTCTATCCTGAGCTTTCTGCTTTCCAGCTCTTGTGCTGGTAAGAGCCATGTCCCTACGAAGCTCTAGTCCTCTTCCCTGAGGGGCCTGGACCCTGCAGGAGCCATGCCTTGGGGGCAGCCTCTGGAAGACTCAGCGGGGCAAGCGCAAGGGCTGGTCCATGGGGGACTCACCATCACGAAGGAGTAGCCGATCCAGAGCGAGGACCACCCACTGGGGCACTGCGGGATCTGGATGGTCTGGCTGTGCACGGCCATCACCATGGCGGGCGCCTCGCACACCGCGCACCTGCGAGGAGGGCCGGGCTCAGCGGCGGGTGAGGACCCTTGGGTACAGTCGCCCTCGCCTGCTCCCTGACCCCACGACCACGGGGCCCACTGCCGCGCCCGGGCCTGGTGCTTCCTGCTGGCTGCCCGTGCGGGCAGGGCCCGGCGGAGGGGAAATGGGCAGCGGGCTGCAGAGCCGCCATGCTGAGAGCAGGCCGCAGGGCCCCTCTGTGGAGCCTCCTGGACAATGAGCACGTGGTTCAGGAACCAGGATTATGCTTAAAAAGAAAGCGGGGCTCCCACTTCTGAGTGCAGCAGAGCTCTAAGCTCCACGCGTGACTGAGTTCCCTGCAGGCGTGGTGAGCGGAGGCCGGCAGCCCCGACACCCTGGTCCCGACCCCTGGTCCCGGCCCCCGGCTTGGCCGTGAGTGCCGCCTGTCATGGAGCCACCCTGCCCAGGCCAGAATGCCCCCAGCTGGAAGGTGCTGGGGGCAGATCAGCGAGCCCAGCAGGAGGACGCTGCATTTAGAAAGTGCCAGCAGCCCAAGGACCGAATTCAAGTCACAGGAGAAGCAGCGCGGGTCGAGTAGTGTAAACGGGTTAACGATAATCCCACCTGGCCCCTCGGGAGGTGGGTGGGCAGCCCGCGCCCTGCGTGTTTCCTCCCTATCCACACCAACACACAGGAGCTAAAAGGTCTAGCTAAACCCCAGCCACTGAATGGGCTGCGTCTCTCTCCCGCCATCGGCCTCCCTGACAAGGCGGAAAGGCGGGGGACAGCACCCTCTGGTCTGTCCTAAGCTGCCCTGGTGTCCCGCCATCAGGGAAGGTGCCTCACAGGTGTGGACTGCTGCTGGTCTCTAAAGCCCTGGGCCTCATCCCCATGCTACTTATGAAGAAACAAAAGCCCAGCTAAGTGTCCAGGCCAGGCCAGGCCAGGCCAGACCAGATTCTTCTCCAGACCCCTGATTGGGGCCTCGTCACCATCCTGTCTGTGGACAGCCAGAGAAGGCGTGTGGGAGACACCATCGTCAGGACTGGGCAGCGCCCCCAGTCAGAATGATGGATCCTTCCAGTGTTTCTGAAATGAAGCTTTTGGACCAGAAATCCCTTGAGGAAGCCCCTGGAAGCCACCTGTGCTCCCAAGAGCCCACTGGAATGCCAAGGTTAAAGTGACCTTGGCCAGAGTCCTAGGGAATCAGAGTCACCGTTCGGCAGAGGAGCCATGGGCTGGGGACAGGAGCGGGGGTCCCTGGAGCAAAGTCTCAGCGGTTCCACTGCCAGGGACAGAGGACCTGGAGCGCAGAGCCCCGGGACCCTGGACTCAGAATCTTATCTGTGCCCAGGGACCAGGGTGTCTTGTGGCAAGGGACAAGCCTGCAAGAAGAGTGCGCTTCAGACCCGCGCCGCTCCCATCCTCCTGGCTGTCTGCACGCCAGGGCCCGTGTCTGCCACCGAGACAAAGCCAGCGCCAGTGTTATCAAGAAAGGAAAGAGGAAATGAATAAATGATAATTGTGCTCTACCTGTTGTCCAAGGAAAGCTAAAAGAGAAACCCGTAGAAGGTGTTAGTCAGGCAGCGTTCCCGCACGGTCTCTGCGAGCTCTGAACAGTGCCTCTCTGGAGGGCAACGAGTGACACTTCCCAGCGAAGGCCCTCAGTGCACTCTCTGGCAGCCCAAACCCGGGGATTCTAACGGACAAGGTCGCGCTGGGATTCTCCTTCCCAGGCCTTCCGGGTCCAGGGTCCTCACAGTCCAGCCCTGTCAGGAGGCTTGGTCTGTGGGGCCCAAGTCCTGCACTGCAGTCTGTCCCAGCAGGGTGCTCACGAAGCGAAGGGATGGGGTGCACGGAGCGCTGCTCCCCGCTTCCCATGGAGTGCAGGGCACTTCCGGGAACTCTCTTCACCCTTGAGCGCTGCTCAGGAGCCAGACCTGGCAACACATACCTGTCATCCCAGCACTCTGGGAGGCTGAGGCAGGAGGACCACAGTTTGAGCCCAACCTGGGCACCTTAGCAATTTAGGAAGATCCTGTCTCAAAATAAAAAAGGGGCTGCTATACAGAAGGATAAATCGGAGTCATTTGTAGGAAGATGGATGCAGCCTGAGACCAAAATATTAAGTAAAAAAAAAAAATCAGACACACAAATTTAAATGTTGCACGGTTTCTCTTATGTGAGAAACCCGAAGTATAAATGAAGACAAAATAAAAGACAGAGAATAGGAGACAGGGAGACGGAGCTTCTGCGATGGGAAGGGACCGAGAGATGGGGCAGGGGCATAAAGACGACAAAGATGTGCTGTGCACACGCATGACCCAGAACGGGCCGTCGTGTGCCGCAAAGGTGTGCCCATGAAAGGGGGCGTGGGTGTACTCTGCAAAGGCCCTGGGTTCACACTGAAACCCCAGCACCACACACATGCACGCACCCGCACACACACACACACACACACACGAAGCTGCCAGTGTCTTTGAAGCGAGCACAGGAATGCTCAGCGCGCCTTCCTCACGCCCACCTTCCCCAGGAACACGTTCCTGGCCGCTTGCTCCATCTACCCTTTGTCACCGTCGTTCATAAAAAGTAAAACTAGGGGCGGCTTCGTGGCGCAGTGCAAGTGCTCGTGTGCCACTTCCCTGCTCCTCCTGCGCACAGCCAACAAGGAGCCCTGAGGAGACGGGGCCCAGCACAGGACAGCCACGCACCTCGCCCGGGGCTCCAGCTCCGCCCTCCCTCCCCACTCCACACCTCGTTCGTGGACAAGCGCCCCATCAGGGACTCGCTCCTCAAACACTGGCATCCCCAGCGGATCCAGGGACCAAAACTGTGGGATTTGAGGGAGGAGAGCGTGGAAAAATCTCACGGCTGTGTAGACGCTGCAGTGTAAAGCGAACCCACATAATGTCCACGGACAGGCCCAGAGGCACGCAGCACACGCACCGGGGAGCACAGCGTCATGCCTTGGTGCTGGGGCACCCGACACCCGTCGGGATGGCTGCGACTGAAAACACGGGGTGATCAGCGCTGGCGAGGCAGCACCAGAGCCCTGTGCTCTGTGGGCGGGGACGGTGCAGCCGCTGCAGAGAGCAGCCATGGAGTCTCACAAAAAAAAGAGAAGCAGAATTCCTGGAAGACTCGGCACTGCCACCGCTGGCCACAGGCGGGAATGCAGGGCCGGGGCTGCACACCCAGATCCGGCAGCATCCGTCACAAACACCACCGCACGGAGGGAACGCATAGCCAGGCGAGGGGACCCAGGGAGTGTGGCACACGCACGTCCCGGGGCATCACTCTGGGGGCAGTGGGAGAGGAAGGGACAGCACACCCCACACCCCGGATGAGCCCGGAGGACATTAACGAGGGAAGCGAGCCGTGACAGCACAGGGCCTGCGCAACTCCGTCCACAGGACACCCCGTGGTGCGCCCCAGACGCACGAAGCGGAGCGTGGGGGCCGAGCGGGGTGGGCAGGGCGTGCGTTTCCCACGCAGCAGGGGAGCTGGGCTGCGCTCAGTGTGGGTGTGCACATCAGCGTGGCCCAGTGGAACATCCTGGAGCCCGGGATCACACCGGGGTACTCTACCGCTGAACTTGCTCCAAGCTCCCCTTCTTTATTTTTGATTTTGAGACAGGCTCTCACTAAGTTGTTCAGGCAGCACCCGAATTTGTGACCCTCAGGCCTCAGCCTCCCAAAGTGCTGGGATTGTAGGCGTGTACCACATGGCAGGCTTATGTTAGTTACACAGTCATGTCTCACCACGAGAAATCATTCGCCTTTAGAAAATTTATAGGAGCGAGAGTGATCCCCTCCCCACAAAAAACATCTTCAGAGGCTTTTTATGTAGCTTGTGATAAAAAGGAAGGAAGGAAGGGAAGGAGGGAGGGAGGGAGGAAGGGAGGAGAGGAAAAAGGAAGAGAAGGCAGGAAAGAGACGCTGAGAGGCGCTGTCCTGTCCAAGGGTGTGCAGAAGAATCCCGCAGTGCCCCTCACAGCGACCACCACACAAACGTGAGTCCAGCCACTGTGGTGGTTTGTGCCTGTAACCCCAGCGAAGAAAGGGATGTTTTTAAATCTCCGATGGTGGTGTTACTATAACTGTTTGAAAGAGAGTGAGGTTACACCAATTTTTTTTTTTTTTTTTTTTTTTTTTTTTTGCCTTTTTGAGACAGGGTCTCACTATGCAGTTCTGGCCGGCCTTGAGCGCACTTTGCAGCCCAGGCTGGCCTCGAACTCACAGCAATCCTCCTGCCTCAGCGCTGGGGCAAACCACTCTTACGGGTACTTTCTATAAAACTCTGCAATCACAATTAGAAAAGTACTGGCCATGCCCTGAAGTACGGGCAATGTCTGGAGGACAGCACGGAAAGACAAACTCCAGTGGTCGTGTGTCAGACCACGAGGGGCTCCCGGCCGACGAGGCGCCTGCCGCGCTCACCTGCTGATGAAGGGCCGGATGTTCTCCCCGGAGATGGGCGCCATGGACATGGGCATGGGCTCGGGCGTGGACAGCCAGTAGGAGTAGTCGTTGCGGGACGCGAAGTTGCAGACGTTGTTGATGTTGCAGAAGAGGAAGGGCATGGTGCTGAACTTGCGCAGGCAGCTGCCGGCCGTGCCTGCGGGGACAGAGACGCTGGCTCAGGACCCGCCGGCGCCTGTGTCGGGCGGACGTCACGCGGCCGACAATCACAGGCACACGGTGAAGCCGTGACCACGGAGACGGAATGAAGATTCGAGACTATTCCCGCCGGCGAGGGCGCACAGGCACCGCCCGTGGGCGTTCCTTCACAGCTCAAGTGAACAGGCCAGGGGCACACTGGAAAGAACTACGCGGGGCCGTTTGATCAGAGGGAGACCTTCGCCGAGGGCCGAGTCCAGAGGGAAGGTGAGCACGGCTTTGCTCTGCTTTTTTTGTCCTCTTTTTTTTTTTTTTTTTTTTGAGTGAAGAGAAATTACCTTGGGCTATATGTAAAAGATGTAATAGAGTTAATGTGGTCTCAAAACTTCCTTCTAAAACATATTTTTCATTGTAACACTTTTTTAAAAAGAGGGCCAAAAAAAGGTTGGTCACTGGGTGGACCCAAGGTGATGACACCGGGCGCGGTGGCCGATCCCACCTCAATCGGTGACACTAACGGGGACTTGGTGGAGCGTCTGGGGCAGACGAAGGACAGCTGTGCGGCTGCCCACGGACCTAAGCTAGTGGAGGGGCGGGGAGAGGAACACGCAGGCACGCCCGCCTCCCCGCTCGGCAGACACAGTGCAGGCTGTCACGCACACTCTCGGACCCAGGCCCACTTCGCAACTGGCGGGTGAGCTCAAAACTCTGCCAAGGTTGGGCACTGTCAAGCGAGGGCTTTCGCTTTCCCGGCTTCCTGTGAGCGGGCGAGCGGCTGCTGAACAGATGATCCCTTTAATCAGGACGGAGGAGGGAAACAGGCCGAGCTCTCTCCCCCAGGCCGCTGTCCCCAGTTACGCCAGGCACTGCCCCCAAGTGGCCCGAGGCGATGTCTCACCCAAGTCCTGGCCGTGGGCCCGCTCGTTGCCCTGTACGTAGAGCAGCGAGTAGCCGTGGTAGAGGATCTTGGTCCCAGGCGGACACAGCGGGTCTTCTGTCGTCTGGCTGTGCCTGGTCACCAGGAAGCCGTGGTCCACAGACGGGGTGCCAGGGGGCCCCATGGATCCAGGCAGCCCGTCAGGCCCTGGGGGGCCCGGGAACCCTCTGGGACCTGCGGGAGAGAAGGCGAATGGGTTTCCCTCATTGCAGCCGGTTCTCGGGGAAGCCTCCAAAGCCACTGTCTCAGAGGAGCTTTTAGTATTTTGATTTCCTCAAAATGTCTCGTCTTTTTCACACCACAGAAAAAGTCCTGGGAACACGCACCCACATGCTCTCACACACACACACACACACACACACACACACACACACACAAAGCCCCGCCCCGGCCTTCTGTGCCGCCGCAGCCGGCTCCGCAGCCACACCACCTGGCCCAGCGTCACTCGGGACATCGAGTGCGAGGAGAGAAGACGGCTGTGGAAACGAACACCTGAGTAATCATGCTCGCTGACTTTGCACCACGCTCTCCCTCGTCTGCGATGAAGAAGGAGCTTGCAGCTGCAGCCCACGTGACTGTCAGAGAGCCATGCAGGGCCACGCGGGGCCACTGCCGCGGCCACCTTTCAACACCACCATCAGCAGCTTCCGCTACACGGAAACTACAGCCCTTTCTGTGCTTGTCTAGAATCCCGCTTCTCCTCTTGCTCACAGGACGGCGATTGAACCTGGGACCTTCCGCTGAGCTGCATCCCAAGCTCCTTTCTTATTTTGCATTTAAGACTGGGTCTCAAGTTGCTCAGACTGAGCTTGAGCTTGCCATCCTCCCGCCTCAGCCTCCTAGAGTGCTGTCATTATAGACCTGCACCACCAGAGTCCATTTCTCCTAAGACACAGACTTCCCTGGGAACCTTTCGAGGAATATTTTTACTCTGCCGTGAGTGCCCCATGCCTGGGTCTGCCACTTCCGATCCAAAGACACAGGAGAAGCTACAGAAAGGGAGGCCCCAGCAACCTACCGGGTGGCCCGAAGGGACCTGTCTCTCCTTTCTGGCCAGGGGCACCGTCATAGCCGGGGTTGCCAGGAGGCCCAGGGACACCCGCCGAGCCGGTCACACCTGCAGCATGGGAGAGAGAGCTCATGGTCTGGGCCTGGGTGGCGGTGAGCTGTCTCTCTTACTTCTTTGGAGTCACTTTTAGTCTTACGTGGGGACAGGCACGAGGCCTTGGCACACCCATGGCTGCTTCCCGCAGAGCCTGGAAGCTTCAGCAGCCGCTGTCACTGACGTGAGCCTGCGTGTGTATAAGCGTGTGCATGCTGCTGCTCGGCAACAGAGCTGAAATGGCCATGTGGGGGCCACCCTCGTGTCTCCGGGTTTAGACAAGGGACACGCTGACTCGGCAGTTAGGTTCTGGTCTCCGGGCATGCGCTTCACACGCGGGTAGCTGCAGGGTAGCTTTGCGCGGTGCCGACTTTCACTCCTATACTTCCCCACCTCTTTCCAGCCACCCTGAGGTGGGAGCAGCTCCGCTCGATCCCAGGAAGGCGGTAGGCAGGGTTCCCCGGGGCTCGGGGACTGCAGGGGCAGCCGTGTCTCTACCTGGGCTCCGCCCGGCTGCTCTGACAGCAGGGGCAGGTACCCCCCCCCAGACCTGTGCTCCACCCTCCTCCTCCCTGTGGGAGACACTGCAGTGTGCATGGCCCCTGCTTTCCTGACTGAATGTAGATATGCAGGTGTGTGTGCCTCTAGCTTGTCCGCATTTTCTCGTGGCTTTTTGTAGGTCCCTTTCCAGCTCCACCTGGTTCTCAAGCACCCTGAAGGAGTCACTTTCGAACATATGTGGATGATGACGACCCAAGGACTCTGACTGCAGACCTGGAGAAGGAGACCCCACCCCGCCCCACTCCCTGGCACTGGCACCAGAGCCTCACCTTGCTGGCCTTTGGGTCCTGGAGGTCCCTGGAGCCCTTTCAGACCTGGGGGGCCCTCGGGACCAGGAAGCCCTGGCTCGCCTTTGATGACGTCGTAAGGACCTGGAGGGCCGGGGGGACCTGGCAGACCTGCAGGGATGAGAAGTGGTTGGTCAGTTCCACGGTCCACAGCAGGGACAGGCATCCAGAGGGAGGCAGTCCCACGGCCACGTGTCCCCACGGAAAATCACTACCAAACAGAGGCCTCAGACCCTGGCAACGCGTGCGTCCATCGGCACAGCTTTCTCGAGCAGCCCGCATCCTGAACTACCAGGGCTGGAAGACACCGAGCCTGCCGGTGGGACTGCCCACGCCCTTCCCACTGCACCAGCTCCCGGTTCTCTTCCCTGAACTCGCTTCTGAGACTTACACGGCCCCAGAGCAGTGGTGATGAGCCCGTGGCACACGTGTCACCGCGGGCACACACAGCCCTCTCCGTCGGCACACAAGCCAGGTCTCCCCAGCCAAGGTCTGACAAATTATCAGCGTGCATGCGACAGCAAAGATCACATTAATTGTGCAGAAGCACGCCGAATGCAAACTTTTAGCTTTTAGCAAAAAGCTGTTTGTACCATTGAAAGCTCTGATAGTGCACTTTTCTTTTAGGATAAAAGATGCTAATGCACGCGTTGTCTTTTCCACTCTAAAACCTCAGTGTTCAGGTTTAATTGCAGCGCTGGCACTTTGGGATAAATAAATGGGTTTGGGCTGCAGTTTGAGCACTTGGTCTCTAAAAGGTTCGCCATTGACGTCCTAGAGCGATACAGTCCTCCCGGCAGAAAGTGAAAAGGACAAAGGCTCAGCTCAAGCTGTTTCTTTCCAGGCGGCATTTGAAGCCACCTCCCCCTGACACCCGGGCGGGAGAGGCAGCTCTGTCCTCTCCAGGAAGAGTGCAGTCTGACACTCAGGAGACCTCTCCTGCTACAGCCGGAAGCCACCGGCTGCCTCTAATGTGACAGCGACTCGGGGTCCGCAGCCCGTTAGGGTGCAGCCCCTCCCTTGCGCTCTCCCGGTCCCACAGTGAACCAACCTGCCTTCCAGAGCAACAGTGATCCTAACATGCTGCAAAGCATCTCTAATCAGCTGCTAATGACCTTCTGGTCACTTCACACATGCAAAACCACCCCTCACTCTGTGAGTTCCCTGTCCCCAAATCACCAGGGAGGTCCCACGAGGTAACAAATCTCCTACCTTTAGCACCGGGGACACCTTGATCACCCTGATCGCCTTTCAATCCCTGGATACCAGGAAGACCTTTCTGACCTGGACAGGAGGAGAACATTGTGTTTGCACAGAGCTTCCCACGCTTTGTGAACATGTGTGCATATGTGTGCACACACATGAATATACACAAGCATGTATACGCACACACGATATACATTATGCACATAGTACAGGCCTGCATACACGCAGACACATGCATGTGGGTGAATACATTCATATACACACAGTGAACATGTTTTTAACCCAGGGAGAAAAGCGCAGACATCTGACAAAACTGTTCTTTCTGGAACCCAGAAAGTATACTTTTCCAAGCAGGTAACAAACTACAGTGGGCACACAGAGCAGAAGTGTAAGTGACACTGATTGTGGTCATTTGATTACACCTTTCTCCAAACAGACTAAATAGACCTGCAGGACAACAGCTTGCTTTATTCACCTTTCTATTTGATTCGGAAGTAAAAATTACAATGCCTACAACCTGGCACGCCCCTAATGAATGTTTGTTTAATATACTAATAAATTAAGTAATGGCCCCTATTCATGACTTATTGGGGTGCAAATGATTGAGGTGTATGTGATCCACTAATTCTCAGTAAGGAAATCAGAACATCATGAACATTCTCTGGCTGTGCAGGTAGGCTGCTGTGAAGAGAGGGCCATGTCCCAGTGCCATTGGGCCTGTGTATGGACAAGGGGTGGGGTGGTCAGGGAGCCCTCCAACCGCACCCCATCACAGCAAGACTGCACAGCTCCTGTCTTACCTTGGAATCCTGGAACTCCTGGCAGCCCCATATCACCCTTAGAGCCTGTGATTCCAGGAGAGCCACCAATACCCTAGACAGGCAGAGAGTAGGACTGCTCAGAGACCTTCAACAGTATCTTGAGCGACCTGTAGCAAGGAAGCTGAGAAAGCCCCTCCACATCCTGCACAGTACATCTGGGAAAGACGGTGCCTTCTGGTTCCTTGAATGGGTAACGAAAATGATTAAAATCTCTGTGCGTGTGTAAACTAGGAAACTGGAAATTCCAACAATTTGTTTTATCCTGGGCTTCCCCTTTGCTTGTCCAGCCACATGGGAAAGAAGCAGTGAAAATCTTGTTCCTGCTGTCCCCACAGCACAGCACGATGACATGTACACAGTCGAAGCTCCACAGACACTTGTCATCATCAACACCATCCACCTTTCGTCCCCCCGAACACGCAAGCACAGTGACTGCTCTCTAGAACTGGCTTCATGTCTTATCTGAAGCCTGATTTTAATTATGTAAAAAAGATTTTAAAAAACACTAAAGAAAGATTGTTTTATCTCAGTATGTACCAATGTTCACGCACTGAAGAATTTTAGTTTATTTTCTTCTATTTCAGTAGAATTGTTCCTTTCTGTAGGCATGGGTAGCATTGTAAAATGTTGCATTATTTCTTAAATAGGTTCGTTTCATTCAATCCTCAGTACCACAAAAAAAGGATTTGTTTCTTTGACTTACCTTATTTTAAAAAGTATCATAACCAAAATAACAATCACAAGTATATATATTTGGAAAATCACACACATATTTATATACGCCTATGTACATACAGACAGACAGACACTGACTAGCGCTAGGAACGGGGTAGGTATTTCTATATTACTGAGGAAGAATAGAATATATTAATAACTGACAGCTATATTTACATCACAGGAAAACTATAATATGGCAATAAAGAACCTAAGACCCATTCCCTCTGTGACTTAGGGCTATGCACACCGCTTGTAGGTGCCAAGTAGGTAAAAGTGATTATTGCTACTCCATGCAGCCTCCTCTGCGTAACTCCTCAGGACACTGCAGAGCTTCCAAAAGTCATAAAACCCCACTTGTTCTTCAATGCGTGGCCAGCTGAGCTGAGCTGCTGTTTCTCCCTGGAGAAAGAGCCTGGTACTCCTAAGCACACCCTTGTGACACTTAGCTACAGGGAGGACCTGTACTGACTTAGAGCTGAATCCACGGTTCCTTCCTCCCGGCACAGCCACTGTTTCGGGGGTGGGGCAGAACTCTCCTCACACATCCTGGACATCAGTGAGGCATGGGGCACAAAGGCTTAGCCACAGAGGTGGCTCAGCTGAGAACCAAATGCAAGGCCTCCACCTAAGAGAACTGCAGGAGGCCACAGCCAGACAACAGCACACACACAAACCTGCTCCTGGTGACTTGTGAGGCCCTGAGCTGTGTCCCTGAGGCCTTTCTGGGTTACCTGGAGATGTCACTGTTCCCCTGCAGTCTCCAGGACGGCTGTCACCAGTTATGGGACACAGCTGCGCTCACTGCTGGTTGGCATTTTGGACCAAGCTTGTAAGTGGCTTGTAAAACCTAGCATCAACTCTAAATTGCATCACTATAACACTTGCTTCCTAATGATTCTTGCAAATAAATCATCATTTATTGTCATAGAGTTACCTGCTCTGCTGTCAATAAAAACACTGTTGCTGGCAAGAGAGGAGCTGATTTGGGGCTGCAGAGGATCACACACGTGTGTACATCCACATATACACACACACACACACACACACACTCATGCACATATGCACAAAGACACACACATCTGTGACCAGAAAAGGCTCCTTTCCAAGAAAACCCCACAGCCTCGTAACTCACCGGCAGGCCCTGGAATCCTGGGTCTCCCTTGGGCCCCGGAACGCCGGGCGCTCCTGGCCAGCCTGGATTCCCTTTCTCCCCTTTCCGTCCATCCAGCCCGGGGAGCCCTGCAGGCCCCATGGGTCCCGGAAGCCCTAAGAGGAGAGACGAAAACCACAGGTTTAAGGCAGGCAGGTGCTGTTTTGTATACCAGTCGCCAGGCTGTGGTGCTGCCGGTAGCAGTGCCTGGCCGTCCCTAACCCCAGCATCACTGTGTGGGTGTCACTGTGTAGCACGAACCGTTATGAGATCGAGGCAGGCCCTAGGACCAGAGGATGCCGGTGTGAACACCTGTCCGCCCAAGGTCACGGTGCCCAGACCTGTGGCGCCATCTACCGCAGCCAAGGTCAAGGCGGGAGCACCCGCCAGTGGTGTCGGGAGACGAACAGCACAGGACGTCCGTGCAGTCTTTCTCCACCATGTCCTCTCTTGCATCCCCCTCATCAGGGAGCTTGAGAGACCAGAGAAACTTTGACCTGAAAGACCAAAGCCACTTCGAGCTCTCAGACTTTGTGCTGCATCTCCGCTCAGGAGCAAAGACCCCACTCCTGTCCTTCACCTAGTGTCCAGGCCCCAGCACCCACGCCTGGTGCAATGCCCTTACCTGGAATGCCAGGCTGTCCCTGCGGTCCTCGGTCTCCCTTGGGGCCCTCCACGGCGCGGCCGGGAGCACCAGGTATGCCCGGCTGTCCTTGGGGTCCAGGAGGACCCATGAATCCTTGTTCGCCTTTGAGTCCAGGAATTCCGGGACTCCCAGCCAGTCCGGGGAAACCCACTTCGCCCTTTGAACCTAGAAAACAACGCCAGTGTGAGGTCACAGAGAGACCAGCACAGCAGAGCCCGCAGCACACTTGCGGTCCTCCCGGCACCTCTCAGAGAAGCTTCTCGGGGCGCCAGGAGCAAAAACGAGCACACAGGGCTCCACCAGGGCCATGGCCTGGGGAAAAGCAGGACCTAGCTGTCTCTCCTTATGCACCTAAAAAGAAGCGCTCTACAGCGAAGTGGAGGGAGCTAGGGAGCGTCTGGAAGCCTGCAGGCAACGCCCTGCTAGGATGAAGGCTGTCACCCAGCAGGGAAAGGAGTGGGAGCTACACCCCGGGCTGCAGAATGGGACTGGCCCTGCGAAGGAGCGGCCTGCTGAAACAAGGGGCAGGGCGAGCCACGCACATTTAGCCGTGGGAAAGAACCCGGGCTAAGAGTCCAATCTGTACGAGCCTGTAGGACAGGCAAGGGAGTCCACACTCCAGAAAGTGCATGGGCAGCTGCATGGGGTGCCACAGCATCCTGCACGCACAGATGCAATGCTACCCCCAATGCATGTTTCCGTGTGTGCACATGTCAAAACTCTTCAAACGGCACACTTGACATACATGCACTTTATTGTGTGCCAATAAATAAAAACAGCTCCAAAACTTGAAAAAATATGCACGTTCAATTTTAAACATATTACCTAGAATCTGCCAATAAAAATGCGAACGGCATCTGGCCTGTGCCAGTTCTCACGGTCTGCACCCCTTCCACATCCATGTGAGGACTCTGCAGACCTACCCAGGCCCCGAACGGTGTCACCCTCTGCACCAGTACCCAAGTCCCCAGCTGCAGCCTGGCCGAGAAGCCCAGGGCCGGGTACCAGGACAGCGCCCATTCTGTGTGTGCGAGGGACCCAGGTCACGCGGCAGCGAGGCGGAGCTCGCTGGGAACACGTTACCTTTGTCTCCTTTGGTCCCTGGGAACCCCGGGAAGCCTCGTCCGGGTAGACCTGTGAGGCAGAAAGCACCAGTTCTCATTAGCCCAGCAGGGTCTGCAGAGGCCGTGGAAGGCAGGATCGGCTCTGTTCTGAGACGCAAGTCCTTTGTGGGATCCACAGAAGTCAGTTCCAGGTCACGTGGGAGCAGGACCACGCTCCCACGCACCGCGGCTGCGAGGCCCCAGCCCTTCCCCTGGCTGCTCCTCACTCAGTGCTTTTCCCTGAGCCCCTTCCGGGCAGCGCCGCTCGGCGGGCACTTAGTAGAAACGACCTGTGCCTGATAGTCACTTCTTCCACTGTCTGGAGACAAACGCAGGGGCCACTCGTGGGTGAGCATCCAGCTCGCCAACCTTCTCAAAGGAGCTGAGACAGCCAGAGACCCCGGGCCACGGACATGGGGACGCAAACGTGGGCACTGGGCTCAAGGCGGTGATGTGGTTGGGAGTGCGAACAAACAGTTCTTACAGGAGGGATGGACACGGACCAGCACGGGCCTCAACACGCGCGCAGGAGCCCGGGCAGAGGCGGCCACACTGGGTGCACGCAGCCCCGCACCCCTCCCGTCTCCCCGGCCCGGAGCAGCCTGCGTGGTCAGGGCTCCCCTGCGTGACACGAGCACCGCTGCACGTGAGGCTGCACGTGAGACTGCCACCGTCACAGTGCAGGAGCAGCTGGGGGCTGACAACAGTCCCAGGAAGGTCCCAAACCGGGCAGCGCTGGGTGGGGCAGGAGCTTGGTTTCCGTCTTGTGTTGCTAGGCCACAGCAGGTACAAGGCGGGCGGACAGGGACGGCGTCTGGCCTGGGGACGGGCCACACGGAATGATGCAAGTCCGGCCTTCCCAAGGGGACAGACTAGGGCTGGACATACCTGGCTCGCCCTTCTCCCCTGCTGACCCCGGGATGCCATCGCTGCCAGGCTCGCCCTTCTGGCCGGCTGGGCCCGTGAGGCCGGGTGTCCCAGGGAGACCTCGGGGAGAAAGCCACAGTCACGCACCTGCTCTCCAGGGGCGATGTCCTTTCCCAGCCTTTTAAAGAGGCTCTCCCCGCCCAGCTCTGCCCGCGTCCCTGGGATCGGTCCTGATGCCCTCAGAGACACCCCAACCCTGTGCTGTTAGCAGCACCTCAAACCCAGCCCTGCAAGCCAGAGAAGGGAAGAAGCTAGACTCAGTGCAGAGCAAGCTGGGAGGGCCAGGGCAGGCCCCTAACTCGGGGCAGGGGGCCTTGGAAAGAGCCCCCAGCCTGGCCTCAGTTTGTTCATCTGAAAAGTGGGCTGCAGAGGCAGCCTGCACCAGAGGGTCCGGGTGGCTGGGCCCCTCCCCGGGGAGCCCACAGCCCTCAGGTGCACAGAGAGGCCACTACCTGCTTCTCCTTTGACTCCAGGAATGCCGTCCAGTCCCGGAAGACCCTTGTCACCCTTCTCCCCAGGCAAGCCCGGGCTTCCTAAAGAGAACACGGTTCAGAGCGGGTCGGTCTGGTTCTTGCCTTCTCCACCGAGCAGGAAGAGGCCCTGTGCACCTACCTGGGTAGCCGACACTGCCCGGAGACCCCTTGGGGCCCGGAGAGCCCGGCACACCCGGCATCCCAGAGCTGCCCTTCTCTCCCTTCTCTCCGGGGCTGCCGGGGAAGCCCGCTAGCCCCTGGTCTCCCTGTGGGAAGAATCAGGCATGTGAGCTTCAGGTCTGTCCCAGCACGTGCACACGTAGGCGCCCTTGGATCACAGACGCTCTCAGGGGCACTGAACGCTGCAGGGCAGAATCCCATTCCCAGACCTCACTCAGGGAATCAGAGTCCACTTCCAAAAAGGAGGCAGAACTAAGGGAGTGAGAGACCAAATGTCTCCTTCCTACTCGCCCAGTCCCTCTGCGCCCCTGTTTTCCCTCCAGGAATGGCTCTCAAAGAGCTTCTGGATTCCTTCCTGGGGAGGCGGAGGTAGCAGCTGGCCAGGCTGGTTAGTGGGCCGTAGTTAGGCCGTGGGCCGTAGTTAGGCCGTGGGCAGTAGTTAGGCCGTGGGCAGTAGTTAGGCCGTGGGCAGTAGGGCTCTGCCTGCGCCGGGGTGGTTACAGGGAACTTTGGAAAGGGGACAGGGCGTTTCCTTGTTACACGCTGCTCACCTTGTCTCCAGGCCGCCCGGGAATCCCGATGCCAGGCAGACCTGCCTGCCCCTTCTCTCCCTTTGCCCCTTTCTCTCCGGGCGAGCCAGGGAAGCCCTGCTGGCCGGGGACACCAGGCACGCCCTTTTCTCCAGGAGTTCCTACAAAGGGAGGAGGAGAAGGTGCGGGTGAGATTAGTAGCACCACCCACCAGCCAAGACCCAGATGAAAGGACCAGATCCTTCGTTATCGATCTGCAAGCCATGTCGCCACTCTAACCGCATCATGGCCGTGGAGGACACACTTTTACAGACCCTTGCTTGTAAACAGAGAGAAGAGATGCACCTGCTACTTTACCACGAGTGTAAAAATGGCTTTCGGGGATTTTATTACGTAATCAGCTCCGACGCACCAAAGTGTCATGGGGCCGTGGGGCCGTGTGAGGGGCGCACCTAGACGTCGGCTGTGACGCCTGTCACTTCCAAGCTCCCCACCACCTGGGTGTAGCCAGCACCCGAGAAGTTTATCCCACCAGGCAGCAGTAGAGCACCTGGCCATGGCTGGAGGAGACCAGAAGCCAGGCTCCCTGCGCAAGCCAGCCCCTCTCTCCTACGCCCCGGGAGCCCTGCTGGGAACCTGGGGTCCAGGCCAGGCTCCCTGGGTGCCCAGGGACAAGCCAGCCAAGTGGGCAGGTCATGTGGGCTCACCCAAATCCACCTGTGCATGGCCTGCTCTACTGCGCTCCATTGTGACTGATTCAGCAGTGGCCACAGAGCCAGCCAAATGCCACTCCTGGGTAGGTGAGAGGCCTTCAGGTGTGCCCTCCCACCCCACGTGCACACCCCAGGCCCAGCCGATTCCCACCCAGTCAGCCTACCTGGCAGGCCCATTCCACCAACCGATCCTTTTGGTCCAGGCAGCCCAGGAGCGCCCGGCGTGCCACTTATACCTGGGTCACCCTTGGGTCCTGAAATAATGAAGAGGGACAGTGCTACGGCTCAGCACCTCTGCACACAGCAGGGCTGCACATTCCTCCCTGACCGCAGCCATCCCGGGCCCCCGAGGGCCACCTACCTGGCTGTCCAGGGTGCCCCGCCTGCCCATCCTTGCCAGGCACGCCTGGGGTCCCAGGATCACCTCGGGATCCCTTGTCCCCAGTGGGTCCAATTTGTCCTACAAGCACAGAAAGACATAATAGGAGCCCCCGCTCTGAGGCAAAGGGCAGTAGACGTGCAGGGCAGGGCAGTGCAGCCCCAGCCCAGGAGAGCGAGCGTGTCCTCCCTGCCACCACGCACCTTTCTCTCCTTGGTCTCCCTTCTGTCCCTTCATGCTGCCCATGTTCACCGGATCCATGGAGCCCGGCTTTCCGGGGAGCCCGATGTCACCTTTCTCCCCTTTGAAGCCAGGGTCTCCCCTGGGTCCAGAAGTGCCCGGGAAGCCGTGGTCCCCTGCACAGGGAAGAAGGACCCGTCCGACCTGGTGCCGCCACCACTCCTGCAGCTCCTCAAAGCAAACGACGAGGGAGGGAACCCACAGCGTGCCCCAAAAGTGACGTCAGGTGGCAAGTGTCCAGCCACACAGGAGAAGCTGCCCCAGGTAAGTGGACAGGAACCCACGAGCGCGGTTTTCTAAAATGTCTCGCACTGGTGACCCCGACCCATGTCTGTGTCTCTCTCCATCAGCTCTGCCCACAGCGCCCTCCTTCCAGGTGGAAGTCGCGGACGGGAATGGCCTGTTCTACCCCACAGTTCCCCTTTCTAATGTCCCAGTTCCCTTCAAAAATAATTATTTTGGAGCAATTTCAAATAAGAAATAAAATCAGAGTAGAGAAGAGGCCCAGTCTGCAATCATTTGATTTAAGACTGAGGCCCTGGGCCCTCACGCTGCGGGAGACCCCATAGGGAGGGCCCCAGCCGGGCCCAGGAGCAGGACCCACTCCCAACTGGCTCCGCGCCCTGTGGAGCGGCTCCCTGGAAATGAAATAGGACCAAGGGCCATACACGCAGTTCCCGCCACCCCAGAGGTGCTCTGGGGACAGCCCGTTTCCTACCTTTTTCACCAGGAAATCCTGGGGTGCCCACTGGTCCTGGAGAGCCTGGCTGCCCGGGGGTGCCCATGACGCCCATTTCTCCCTTGGCACCTGTGGCCAAAAGGAAGGACTGTGACCATCTCATCACCCACTTGGAACCGGAAGGGAAGTGCCAGGCCTCATGAAGGAACAAGGCCGGAGCTACTCCTGTCGCCCAGCCAGGAGGACACTGGGAGGTCACCTACCTGGGAACCCCGGAAGTCCAGGCGTGCCCTGCTGCCCAGGAAGGCCAGGCAGCCCCGACTGTCCCGTTAGGCCAGGAAGTCCTTGGGCCCCTTTGTCGCCTTTAGGGCCGGGCATGTCCAGTCCTGGGAACCCAGGGAATCCTTTCTCTCCTTTCACTCCAGGAGGACCTAGGGAGGGCAAAATGCAAGACCTGTTAGACGAACCCGCGGGATGCTCTGCCGTGGGCATTACTGTCACTTTCCAGAGGGAGCACGGGAGCCACAGGTGCTGGGGACGGAACGATGCCCTGCGTTTGGGGCCATCAAGTAAACGGGGGACAGTGCTGTGTGAGGGAGAAGCCGGCGGCTTCCCGCCACCCACAGTCACAGCCACCCCTCCGTGGCCTCCCTGAGCTACTCTGTGCTCTCCCCTGAAACTGTGTGACTCCAAGGTTATCACCATAAAGGCAAAGGCAGCTCAGCAGAGCGTAGTGAGTTTACACCACGGGCAGATGACATGGAGACCTCCCTTCAGATGGGAACCTCACAGTCCCTGCACGTGCACCAATGGGGTCTCTGACTGACGCACAGGCTGACCTCCGTGGAGAAGGAACAGAAGTCTAGGACTGCTTCGGAGTACGACCCAGCTCACTTTCATGAACTGGACTTCACTTTCCCCCCTTTCAGTTCAGGAACCATGCTCGTCCTCCAGGTGCCAATGTCGCCTCCCACCCCACTGTGCCCCAGGAAGGAACCACTCTTGGGAACGTCACATCACCTGATGACCCCGGTAGTCCGGGTCCTCCGGGGGGGCCCATGGCTCCAGGGGGACCGAGTCCCGGAGCCCCAGGTGGGCCTGCAGGGCCCTGTGCGCCAGGAGGTCCAGGGTCGCCTGTAAGGGAAGGGTGGGAAGTGAGCGAGGGGGGGCGCTGTCACGTGCTCCACACCAGGCCTATCCACGTGTACAGCAGCACGCCGTGAAGCCTCCCAGACCCTCACCACCCACCCAGCGGACACCCGGCACCGCCAGCCCCGGCCCCAACGCAGCCCGACAGTCACCTCTGCTGCCCTGAAGCCCAGGGGGACCAATTGCTCCATGCTCCCCGGGGATGCCAGGTCCCCCGATGCTGCCCTTCTCTCCAGGGGTGCCAGGAATGCCAGGAACACCAGGCAGTCCTTTGAGCCCGGGAAGACCAATGCCAGGCTCTCCCTGAAAATCCCAACAGAAGCCAGTTAATTGGCCACATCAGGGCTGTTTCCAAGCCAGCAGCATCTGTGGAGACGTAGCTGCTGCCACCAGTGTGTCTGGTAAGAACGGGGTCTGCCCCACCCTCAAAAAGTTTGCAAAGTTTCAAGTAGGGTGTGGAGGTGAACAGGGCCAGGGGTTCAGCTCAGTGGGAAGGGCAGGGCTCAATCCCCAGTGCTAGAAAACAGAAGCCTGCAAAGCCTCCTCACACCTTGACAGGCTTCCTATCACTCTCCTGCAAGCCCCAGATGTAGGGAACTTTTATTGTTCTCATTTTGCCTGTAGGGAAAGTCAAAACTGAGCGTGGCCCTCCACCTCTACAGCCCTGCGCTTAGGTTAAAAAGCTGGGCCTCAGCTAGGCATGGTGGCGCACACCTGTAATCCCAGCACTCAAGAGGCTGAGGCAGGAGGATCGTTGTGAGTTCAAGACCAGCCTGGGCTACAAAGTGAGCTCAAGGCCAACCTGAATTGCATAGCGAGACCCTGTCTCAAAGAAGACAACAAACAAACACAAAGCTGGGCCCCGATGCCTGATAAACTGCCTGTGATGTGGGACTAGCGCACGGCGGGCATCCTCTTAAGAGGTGGCCCAGTTCCAGGGCTGGAACCAGACACCTTTCATTCAGTTTCTCGTATAAATGAAGGCGTTCACAGCAAACCAAACATGCACAAGCACTGCCTGAACCAAGGGGCTTTGCCAGACATGATGGGTACAAATAAAGGAAGCATTCCGTAGGACCAGGGGGCATTTGAAACAGCCTCAATGCCAGCCTGGACACAGGCCGTCTGAAGGGGGCGGGAGGGCAGAACACTGCAGTGCTACTTGGGGTCTCCTCAAGTGACAGAGCGCCAGGACACCAGTGGCCTCGGCAGCATCTCTGCATAAACTAGCGGGAAATTTGCAAAACAGAAGGCGCTCTGCCCAAGGGCTCTCGGCGGTTGGAAGTCGTAAGTCAAACCTTCATGCTGCTCACCCGGTGTGCACGGAGTCCTGGGCAGCCAGGCTCCCTCCCTCCCGTGCTTTAGCGTGTTTCCGGCACAGTGACTCCACACCCTCACGGGGAAGCTGCTTAGATGCACATTGCATCTTGATCTTGTAACTTCCGCTGCCCCGTCTTCCCATCTCCGAAACTCCATCTCGGTTTCCTGCCCTCTACTTTCATTTTGCGCTTTAAGTTATCTATACTTTGGGTTTCACCTCTAAGAGAAACCATGCGCTATCTTTTAGGACAGCAGCTTTCCAACAGCACTTGCCCACTACTCACTGAGCAGGGGGTCCTACTGAGACCCATGTACACACCCGCAAGGACACGGCACAAAACTGAAACAGATTTGGGGCTGGGGATTTAGCTCAGCGGCAAAAGCGCCTGCCTGGCAAGCGCAAGGTCGTGAGTTCGGTTCCATGTACCGGAGAAAAACCAAAAAAAAAAAAAAAAAAAAAAAAAACTGAAACAGATGTTTCAGAAAATCAAACACAAGTTCCCTCAAACCATGTCCTGCCAGATGCTGGGTGCTCTGGTCCTTTCTGTCCCGGGCTTTTTCACTGAAATAACAACACGCAGGCGCAGTCTGTCTCAGAGGTTAGTGACCCGCATGTTAGGTGTCCAGTGGATGCCCAGGTGGGGACCCAGCAGCTCGGTGCCCGAACCCACCTTCTGGCCAGGTAAGCCTGGGCTGCCAGGTAAGCCGTTAAATCCTGGGCGGCCTGGACTTCCGGGAGGTCCCGCGTCTCCAGGTAAGCCGTCCACACCTGTTCAGAAAATCCAAGAAGAACGTGTTACACAAACACGCTCTCTCTTCACCGGCCAAACACACTGGCCCATCTGAGACGGCCCACAGCAGCGGAGCCTTAGAGGAGGCGCTAAGAGCCACAGAGAGGCCACCTGGTCACAGCGTGGCCCCCGGCCCTCCAGCACCACCCCTTCCTCCTCCTAGCACCTGCTTTTCTCCCCATGCTCCGCTCTTCAAACTCATCTCCCTTCTACTGCCCTCCGGAACTGAGCAGGTCAGCCCCCGCTCCCACAGACCAGGGGCCAGAGGCTGCGACCCTCAGTGTGGGCGTGGTCACCCCTGACGCTGAAGACCTGGGCAGACCCCAGAGGCTGTGACCCTTGGTGTGGGCATGGTCACCCCGACCCTGCAGACCTGGATGGACCCAGATGCCGTGACCCTTGGTGTGGGCATGGTCACCCTGGACCCTGCAGACCTGGAAGGACCCCAGATGCTCTGACCCTTGGCGTAGCTGCAGATAGGAGCAGCCCTGCCTCCCCTTGGAACGCAGCCCTGATCGCCTGCTTCCAATAAGAGCCCGTGGCCCTCCAACCCAAAAAGTGGAGAAGCCCCGCAGTGCCCTGGCTCTCCATGTCCCCAGGACGTCTGTCAGCCACCTGCCCCACCCCAGGGTTCTGCTGCGTTTCCAGCGGCGGCACATGCTGTGCTTCCGGCAGCAAGCCTGGGAGACCACTGGTGTGGCCCTCTCTTCAGTGGCACTGAGATCTGTGTCACTGGGACCTGAGTCACACGCAGGTGCTGTGGTCCAGGCGGGTGCCTTGGTGAGTGGTGCTGACCCCACACCAGCCTCTGCATCCCAAGCCACGGCTGCTATGGGCACAAAGGCCTCAGAGGACGGAGCCCCCCAGGACAACAGCAACAACATGGAGGGAGCTCCGTGGGGCAGGAGCAGGGAGGAGGCTTCGCATCGGCCTCCTGGATGTCTGGTCATCGGTGGGAAGGGTCCCGTGCAGGGTGGGCATATGTGGCCCTCAGAGGACAAGAGCCCCATCCTGCCCTCCCAGCCTGGCCCTCTGCACCCATGCAACTGGCCATGTGTGGGCGCCTCCAGGCAGGAAGCCCGAGGGGCTTAAACCTTGTTCTGCCCCAAAAGCACATGTGTAGACAGAATTTCCCACAGCACATCCCTTCCATGGCCATAACTCTTGTCTCCACCTGGACAGCATCTGCCTGGAGGCCACGTGCACCCCGACACTGGGGAGGTGGGAGTGAATTCCCTCCTTCTGTCCTTTCAGTTGCAGGAGGTAAAGGTTCCAGACACCAAGGCCCTGTGGAGATCCCTCCCCTGGTGCGGAACCCCCAGTCTCCCTGGACCCGCCTCTGCCGCCCAGGCCCGTCCTGTGGGGCAGGCTTTGAACAAAGTAGGGGTGGCCGTGCCCAGCTGGGCAAGCGTCCTCACTGGCAACCCTCTACCCAAGCAGAGCCTCCATGCAGGACAGGAAGAGGCAGGCACTTCCCGCAGTCCCCTGCAGACTCAGAAAAAGCACCTGTGGCCTTGTGAGCACTGTCTTTCAGGTGTCCCATGTCTGTGGCCTCCTCTCCTCAGAGGTTCACACCAGGACAAGAGCAGGGGCCCCGGCCACTGTCACTGACCCTCCGAGGAGTGGATGTTCCCTCCCCAGGCCTCCCAAGGCAGTCTCCCGCACAGGGCTCATCACTTTACCTTTGGGGCCTGGAGGCCCAGGAAATCCAATCCCTGGCTGGCCCACAGCGCCCTTCTCTCCAGGGAGGCCGGGCCGCCCAGGGCTCCCAGGGAAGCCTCGGTCACCTGCGGTGTGAGAGGGACCAAGGGTTGGCACAGGAAGAGTGTGACACTGCCCCATGGTAACCAGGGGACCACAGTTCAAGCAGTACCTTGGGGTCCTGGGAATCCGGGGGACCCTGGGAGCCCATCTGCGCCAGGAGGACCGGGTAAGGGAAAGGACCTTCCTGCTTCGCCTTTTGGACCTGAGAAAACAGCAAAACCACGGAGTTGTCAGCCACACAATGCCACAACTCCTCAGGGATCGAGGGAGTCACACATCCCTCCCCTGGTAACACCCGTATGCCCGGCGAGAGAGAGGGCGCGGTCTACGTCCACACTGGCCCTCTGTGTTTCTCGAGTCTTCTACAGAGAGCTCCCTTCTCCCCACAGTGGACATCCAAAGTGACTGAGCTGTTTGCTGACACGAGACTTCTGTGAAAGCTGTCAAAGGAGAGAGCTTTGGAAAGTTGAAAACTCCACAGTACCACAAAGAGAGATGGTTTGGGTCGTTTCCTCACTAGCCTGCCCCAAGTGGCAAAGCACTGTTAGTACTATCTCTCGGTTCACCAGATGCTAACTTCCTCTGAGGTGGACCTCACTCTGCTCATCTGGCGGCCAACCGCACACCACACGGTGTGGGCGTGGCCGTGGGTCATCCTGACCCCCCAACATGGTCAGGTCACTGGGGTCCCCATGTAGCTGGTGGGGAGGAATGCAGGGACTCCCTCCGGGGTGACAAGGACTCCCCAACCCGTCTGGGAACTGTAGGCGAGTGAGTTGGCCCCAGAATGTCCCGCCTGTGTCCCGCCAGACTATGGGAAATGACTGACTTCAGCCCCCAGCCGCTATCCGGCCCAGTCCGGGAACAAAGCTTTCACGGTCACCAAATAAACACAGCTCTGCTAGATCAAAGGTCTGCTCTCTAATCCAGAAGCCCACTGGGCCTGCACACAAGGAACTTTCCAGAATGTACACAACCGGTCAGCAACAGTGGAACACCCTCCTCCTGGAACCTTCTTTCCTCCTGTGCCAGGATCTACTTGTAATGCCTGCTTTGATTTATCCTAATATGGTCTTTTCTGGTCTGAAAGTCTAGCTTCTTTTCACAGTGCCGAAGACCAGCAGATGCCACAAGCAGAACACTGATTTGTTGCTTTTGGAAGCAGGAGACATGGGGAAAGTGGTCAAAGGTCTCTTTTCCTGGTTCTCTGGGGTCTTTCTAAGTCATCCCTGGGGTCCCCTGCTTCTGAAAGAGTCAGAAATGAGTCATTTCTGGAGTCCTTGCTTAAGGAACACTTATTCACGGTGTCACACGGTGGTGCTGGTGCTCCTGACTGCACAAATCCAAACCTGACAGACACAGGGCCCTCGGCTCCCCAGCCCCAGGTTCCATCAGACACCCTGACAGCACCCGTGCCGCACGCCCCTCAGTTATCTACACTGGAACAAGGACAGGACGCTCCTTGGGGGGCAGATTTTGATCACCCGGCCAAATCCAAAGACAGAGCAGAGCTACTGAGGAAGAAGAACACAGAGTAACAGTGGCACCTTCTGCTTCATGGAGACCTGGATTATCTAGTGACTCATGCGGTTTTTCCCAAGGTTTACCAGGCACACCCTTCGCTAACTTTTACATTTCGAAACTCCGCAGGAAACACACACCTCCTCCACCAGGCACAAACCACCCGCCTCCCCTTCTCATCCCACGACCCATCAGGGAACAACAGGCGGGCTCCCTGTCTGCTTGGGACACATGAAAGGGACTGGCCACTGCGAGCCCACCTGTGCCAGGCTGAGGGGCAGGCTCCTCATCCCCCCGAGGAGCAGGTCACAGGGCGCAGACCCTTGGACCAGGGCAGGAGAGCAACGACCACGATGGTCTGCTTCACCCCCTCTTCACACTGAGCCTCGTGCTGGGCACGCGAGCCACCCCGTGCATCCCCAAGCACTGACACCCCACGATTTAAGCAGCACTCAGGCATCAGAAGCAAAAATCACTTGGCAAACACAAGCAAAAATGAACAAAAAAGAAATAAAGAGGAAAAATGGCCTTATGTTTTCATTCCTTCCACATCAAAGGCTGACACACACTGTCTGCTTGTTTATAAGGAAAATCATTGATGCATGCAGGTTCCTAAGGCCATACACATGACCTGGCCCATCTCGCATATGAATAAAGGAGGTTAAAAAACAAACGAACACTAGAACAGGACCTACCAAGGGCCACCCCTTCCTGCACACACACCCTGAGTCCCTGGCCACGTCTCCGTGACCTGACCCTGAAGCAGCATCTGGATGTCCCCATGTCTCACCTGGCAGGCCTGGGGGCCCGGGATTTCCAGGAAAGCCTACTTGTCCTTTGTCACCAATGGGGCCAACTGGACCTAGTCCCGGAGGTCCAGGGGGGCCGATGTCACCACGATTGCCAGGGAAGCCAACTCCTCCGGGGGGACCACGTTCTCCCTTTAGTCCGACTGAGCCCTGAGGTGACAGGAGGAAGAGCAGAGTTTGCCCTCCGGAGGCAGGAGGGCGGGACCACGCACACGCGCTCTTCCTCAGGCAGTGTGGAAGCAGCTCGCAGTGCTTACTTCCCTGAGCCGCCACCAGATCGGTCTGCAGTTAACATGCGGAGCCAGCACGCTCTGCCCTGAGCCAAAGCAGCCACCCCAGCACCGCATGAGGAGATGCTCCGGAGGGCAAGCGTGCGGCACCCACAATCCTCCTGCAGGCCACGGCACAGACACCACTAGCGTTAGAATCAGCCTCCCGCTGAAGGCGAAAGTCTCTGGACTCAGCCCTCAATGTGTCAGAAGAGACTTCAGCCCCCTTAGCCCTTCGAGTCCGCCCTGCCGGCCCCTGGCTTAGGGACCGTGACGCCCATTCGCGTGTGCCAGCCGCCGTACAAAGCAAGATACGTGGGTTCTGCTCAAGCGACTGGTTCCTCCGTGCACTATAGATGTGCACTTGTGAAAGGCACACTTGAACCCTGGGGATAAACATACCGGGGAGCCTTTGGGGCCAGGAAGTCCTGGGTGGCCATCTCTTCCGGGGGACCCTGCCCTGCCAGGGATGCCGGGCTGTCCTGGGAAACCGGGGTCGCCTTTGTCACCTTTCAGCCGAGCATCGAAGATGATCTCTCCAGGCTCTCCCTTGGCTCCCGGCTGGCCTATCAGCCCAGGTGCACCTTTGGGACCCTATAAAGACAAAGCCTGGTGACGTTACGGGAGGATCCATCCAGGGGACACACCAGTGTTCGGCCACCACGGGAACCAGGGTACTCAGATCCCACTGCTCACTCCCGAGGCAAGCCAGCCGCTCGGGGACCAGGTCCCGGTGTGCTGCCCCGCTGTGGCTCCTCACCAACCCCTTTGTGGTTTGTCCCAGACAGAGCTCACTCGGACAGGGCCAAGGATGTCACTGGCCCTGTCCGAGTCACTGATCCCTACGGGATCATTCTTTCCCCTCCCCAGAACATTTTAGACACTGTTGGGGCCACTGCACAGGTGACCCTCGAGTCGGGGGGGCCTCAGAATGGCTTCTGAGGGCAGAAGGTGGCTGCACGTCACAAAGGCTGGGAACAGCCATTGTTCTGCGCTCTGGGCAGTACTGAAATTTCATGGGCTTCCTTTCACATTCATGCCCCAAACGCCGGAAGAGATAAGGACTTCCAGGGCATCAGAGATGGGGAATTCTAGGACGTAAGCATGGGGCCAGCTCTAAAATTAGCTATCTTGACAAGCTCTGTGGACTTTCCCAAGACTCTCCCAGGAGACACTGTCCAGAACAGTTTTCAGTTCCTGGAAAGTCGGATCTGCAAGGAATGCCCACGCCCAGAAACGTTTCTGCTCCAGCCACCAGAGAGCCCAGGTGCATGAGGAAAAGGGCATGAGGTCGCAAACAACTATGCCAGTCACTTGGCCCTGCGGGCCTGGGAAAGCCGCCTCCAGCCCCTGCTGGCCTGCAGATTTAAACCCTCACATAACTCACTCAATCCCTTTTCGTACAAGTACACGTGTCTCAGCGGGACGTGAACTGTGCACACAGGCACACACATCTCCATGCACCCGCCTAGTGTACCTGTCCCAGGAAGGCGTGAAGCCCAGGATGGACCAGAACTCATACCGTCTTCAAACTGTGGACACCACTGCCACCAGCGCCCACCATGTGTTGGAACCCTTGGGTGCCATCTCTAACCCTGATGGTGACCCTGCGTGGGAAGCGCTGACACACAACCAGGCGAAGGAGGAAGCCAGTGTTCAAAGAAAGTAGGGGACACTCCAGAGAGCGCAAGGCTGGACCCACTCCCGAGGGCGCGGCAGCGCCCAGGGACCAGCACTGGCTTCATAAACGGGGGAAGGCCTGGCACCCATGCCTTGGCCCTGGGACCTGGGGGGACATCTTGCTTCACCGGGCACCCCCAGTGCCCGCTGGGCCTGCTTGGGCCCACACGGACTTCCAAAACTCACTCAGGAGCCAGGATCCCTTCCCAAACTCAACTCAAGCTTTTAAAAGGAAATATCCTGGAAATTCTATCAAAACCCAGGGCATCCGCTGCTATTTCATCTCAGCCTCCCGTCCAGGGCGGCCCCTGGTCTCGGGGTGTCTCTTTCAGCCTCAAACCAGACTGGAGAGACATAGGCCATATTTTTCAGCAGCTCAAACCCTGGAGCTGTGACATAGCTTCAAATAAAAGGGATTAAGTGGCAATTAAATTATGTACCCATTAATCTACTTTTAGAGGTTTTTCCCATCCAGGGAAAGGAGGTTCCCCAATAGAGGCAGCGTGGGGATGATCATTTTCATCACAGGTTTCACTGCCCTCTCTACCATGATTTCGCCTCTGCTGCCCTCCACCCTCTTTGCCCTCCTGCTAGTTTCATCAGATTCGGGGCCTGGATTCCGCCCAAGCTCGGGCAGGAAGCCCACAAGGACAGCCAGGCCGATAACGCAGACAGACAGAGGTTAAAAGAGCCTTTTCTGCTTCCTCCGACTTTGATCCCACCGCGGTCAGTTATCTGAACTTCCCCTTTACTTAGAAATATTTTAAACAATTGCTACTTCTAACTCAGCTCCCCAGGCACCAGAGAAGGCAGAAGCCCAGAATCCGACTTCAAAAGGAGAAAGCCCTGCAGAACTCCAGCTGTTCCTGCTGCCCGGCCCTCCCTGAGACGCACTCCCAGCTATATCTTTAAAAAGCTAAACATTTTAAAGAGCTACATCAGAACAGGAAAGGCCAAAGATCTGACTTTCAATTTCTACCCGCCCCCCACAAAAAAGACAAAAAGGAATGAAAGAAATGAACAAAACTGGTCTCAGCTTACAAACCTCCTCAGAGCCGAGGGAACGGGGAAGAGGAGCTCCCTAGCTTAAAAGCCTCAGAGACGGGGTGTGAATGCACACGCCAATAACGTGCCTCAGGTTTTAGGGTGATCAGTTCTCGCCTATGTAACGACTTCTTTAACAAATGGGATGCTAAGGAGCAGGTGTTTGGTTTAACTTGAAGGTCTCGTGTTCACACATGTGAGATAGCTCATTTATAGACTTGGAAAAGCACCTATGCGTTGGCAAGGTGTGGGCAACAGGAATTCTCAGCCCACAGACTGCAAGAAGAAGGGAGACTATTTCACCCAGAGGGGCAGGGTCGGCTCTGCTCCACCTCCCCATGGGCACTGCTGGTCCGAGCGACCCGCTGGTAAGAGTCGAGCTCCCGCCCAGGGGCATCAGGAACAGCGGTCACACGGACCAACAGCGACTCGGCTCTGAACCCAGGCGCTGTGAGGAGTCCAAGATCGTGCTGGGCACAGGCCGTGGCGTCACCCAGGCTCGGGAGGGTCACACGAGCCATTCAGAGCGTACCCAGACATCATTACAGCTCCCAGGGCAGCTGGGAGCCATGTGTGCAGCTGGGCTGGTCTGCGGGTGACACAGCACGGCCGCGTCGGAATCAGGAGACGGGCGTACTTACAGGCACCCCTTCCACGCCATCCCTGCCTGGCAGGCCTCTGTCTCCTTTGGCCCCTGGCTGTCCCGGGAAACCTTTCGGGAGAGAGAAGAGCACAGCGCCCATGAGCCAGTTCTCCAAACTCCTTTGTCCTGAGACGCAGCTGTGTGAGTCTTTCTTCCCCGGTGGACGATCAGTTATGAACATCCAGACAGCGACAACTAAGGCGGCTCAGAGGCGCATGGGGAGCCCACAGGCCCCAGGAACTGGTGATGCGGGTGCTGGGACCCCCCCTCCAGCCCGCAGCCTGGGGACCAGAGAGGAGAAGCCCCTGCGACTTCCTGGACAGGCCTCTCGGAGGTGCCCAGAGACCCAGCGGGCAGCTGAGGACGTCTTTACCAGGCCAGGCTGACAGGCCGCCGCCTGTGGCTCTCGCTGTCCTGCGTCAGCTGCAAATGCAGGAGGTGGGCGGCCCTAGGAGGCGCCACGCCCCAGGCCCGTTGTCACCTGCTGCTTACCGATCTCTCCTGGGGGCCCCTGTGGCCCGGGGGGCCCTCGGAGTCCTTCCGTTTCGCAGATGAGGCAGCTGTCTCCTTTCTGGCCTAAGGAGGAAGCACAGGACACTGGTGTGTAACGCGCACAAGTCCTGCGATGACCGAGGGAGTGCCCAGAGGAGGCGCGTCCGCCACGGAGGTGCCACAGTCTCTCGGTCACCCGGTGACCCTGTGGCGTGGCTAATGTTGCTGTGACCCTGTTGCGTGGCTAATGTTGCTGTGACCCTGTTGCGTGGCTAATGTGGACTCATCGTCCTCCCGGGGAGGACAGGGGCGGCCGGGGCCAAAGAGACCCAGCAGCGCTGGAAGACCTAAAGGCCGAAACTCTGTCCCTTCCCAGGGAAATTGGGAGAAAAACCAGCAGCCCCACCCTCCCCAGAGAGCAGGACACGCTGTGTCTCGGCCCACAGCCAAGCAGCAAGACCTCCAGGGCGTCCGCCACGCCTGCGTCCGATCCCGGGCGGTCTGGGTCCCAGCTCAGCTCAGACAGCACAGAGCACAGTGCGGAGGCCCCACCATGTTGCCCTGCCCAGCTGAGAAAAACAGAGTGGCGGGACAGGGAGGGGTCACAGAGCACACTGTGTTGCTCTGCTTTTCCAGGGGCCCACTCAGGAGGCTGAGGCAGGAGGATCACTCTGAGATCAAGCCCAGCCTGGGCTGCACAGTGAGTTCAAGCCAGCCTGCACTACACAGCAAGACCTTGTTGCAAAAAATAAAAAATAAAAGAGCCCAGTAAGCAGGAGGCTGGACGCTGCCACCGAAGCAGGCAAGAGCTCTGTAACAGTGTGTGACGCACTGAGGCAGCCGCTGGGGAGAGACACACTGCTTCTCGAGTGCTGGCACGCAAGCCCACAATGTCAGCAAAAGGCCGGGCCACTGGGCCTGCCATCAGCGGAGCCAGGCATGGCTCTGGGAGGCTGAGGCAGGAAGATCACAAGTTGCAGCCCCGCCTGAGCAACTTAGTGATGTAGCAAGACCCTGTTTCAAAACAAGAAAGGTCAAGGGGATGTAACTCATTGCACAAGTCCTAGGTTCCATCCCCAGCCCTGAGAAGCTGGCAACTAGCAGGATCCAAGACAAACTCAGTTGCAGCAGATCCTAGGAGGTTCCAGCAGATTCTAGGTGGGAGTGCCCCCAAGGTGACTGTTAGGTCATCCCCGTCTGGACTCCGCCAGATGCCAGCGGAGCTGTTTTCCAGGCAGTGCTTGTCTTTGAGACTTCTGAGGACCAGGAGCTCTTTACGAGCCCCGGCCAGGAATGGCACACAATGGGGCGGGCTCCGTGGGCAGCCTGGGGCTTGTTCGCTCTCGGGCTGATGGGCCCGTAAGTGTCGGGAGTCCATTGTTTACTCCAGGCCAGGACGGGCTGTGGCCGTGGCGACAACCAGCTGCTTCCCACATCGCTGCAGGGATCAACGCGGGTCCTGCGCTGGCGTCACAGCCAGCTCTTAAAAAGGCTGAAGATAAAATCGGGAGCCGCAGGAAAGCTGGTTAATCCATCACGGCGGATCTGCCCCCACTGATTGCGCAAACCCGCTCGCAGGCAGGGGCGCTGCGAGTGCAGAGGACAGGCGCGGCTTACAGGAAGGGTGTGCGCTCTCCCTCAGGCTTTGATCTGGGGTCCGATCTGTAGGATGGAATTCTGTGCTGGAAGAGGGTGACCAACAGTGGTCCAACCTTAGGGCTAGGCCGCCCCAGCGCTCAGGGTCACAGCTGTCTCACAAGAGCTCAGTGCCCGACGAGCTGATCGGAGCTGAGGGAGACGCTTCTTCTGAGGATGGATTTGAGGAGAGTCCCCCATAATGGCCCTAACCTGACCCAAGGCAAGTCTGTGGAGGAAAATCCATATGCATAAACAACACTGTTTTTAAAACATTAAAATCTCTCACCTTTCTCTCCAATTTCACCAGTCAATCCCTGCTGTCCTGGGGCTCCAGGGGGCCCCTGGTCGCCTGGCGGTCCCGGCTGACACTCCACAATGCCATCTGGAATTGAGTTTTCAGAGTTAGAGTCATGGCCAGGCGTGGCTCCTGTCTCTGCATTCACTCTTTATTATAAACCAAAGTGGTTCAGGCTGATCGGAGGTGCTGGAAACCCAGCCTTCCTCGGCTTCCCTGAGCCTAACCCTGCAAAACGGGGGTATAAGCCTGCAGAGGAGCCCCGCACACGCGGTCCGTGGCCCACCACGTCCAGGAAGCACGACTAGCATTTCCACGTCAGAGACTCCAGGGCAGGGCGCCATCCCGGAGCTCTGTGCTGTGCCCTGCTCCGACCTTCCCGAGCAAAGCCCACGCTGTCACCCTGCTCTGCGCACCAGGACAGTGCGGCTCTAGCAGGATAGGGGCCCGCTGGGCCGCCAGCTTCATTCCTTTCCTGGGGGCAAATCTGCAGCTCACGACCACCACTTGGGCGATGCAGACCGCCATCAGGGAATGCTGCTCATCTTTTTCTTATCCAGTCCTGAGCACCCTTTATGCAAGGGGCATGACCATGAAGTAGAGAGATGCAAGCACCGCCAGTCGCGGGCTCCAGCGAAAGAAGTACTGCCTGACGGTTCAGATACGCACCGAGGCAGTTTGTGTTTCCTGCATCAGTGACTTTGGGAAAAATGACAGAATGGAGAGTATAAGAGCTGGCATCTTGCGCAGGCTCCAGGGCCAGAGCAGCCTCCTGCTCCTCCCCTCTGTCTTCTCCCCAGGGGAGAGAAGTCAAGGCCAGAGGCTTTGGCCCCTGGACACCGGAGTACCTGCAGCAGGAGCCCGGGGTGCAGGTGCCCACCCAGTGCAGATGTGTGAGCCATGTCCACCTGTCAGCTGGGCCGTCGGCCCCAACACCAAACCCTGCTGCTCTGTGACTCGGGTTACAGCTGAGCTGACAAAGCGTAAGAACCGAATCCAGGAGAACGCCTGCCGCACTCCCGCCACCCTCCAACCTCTGCACCACGGAGACCCCACCGGGCAAGGGGACTCTGTGTCTAGGCTTCCAGGAGTAACCGAAGAACACGGGACTGTGGGCTGTCACTCCAGCCTCGCGCGGGGACCCAGCAGCCCCCCAGGGCCCAGCCTTCTCCCCAACACAGAGCAGAGGGTGACGCTGGACGGATGTGTGCAGGCCGTCCACATCACCTCCTCCTTTCCCACATTCATGAAATCATGAGCAGAGGAGGAAGTTCTGTAGAGCTGCCCGGATCTGCCCACTTCCCCACCCAGGTCTTGCTGACCCTGCCCCAGGAGCCCATCTGGAGCCGATCACACCCCAGCACTTATCCGTCCTCCTCCACAAGTCCCCGTGCGAGGATGCCCCTCCCTTTCCTAGGATGCCCTTGAATCCCAGCAAGGAAATCCCAAAGCCCTCAGACGCGTCTGCCACAGCCACACGGAGGATCAGTGCTTCAGATGCTCCCCAGAGCCCCCCCGCCCCACCAGGACCCAGACGCTGCTTTGGAAACCAGAAATCCGCCCACTGGACGTTTCCTAGAATCCTCTGGAATTTCCCGATAGTTTGCTGCGGTGTCTCGATCAGCTCCCAGGGCCACCATAAGGAAGTCCAGAGATTAGTGGTGCAAGCTCAGCTCTCAGGGAAACCTGGTACAGGTGAACTGCCCAAGTCACGCCACTCAAACGTGAAGCCACTGACCGTGTTGTAGCAGTGACACCTGCAGCATGCAACCCCTTCTTCCTTGCATGTGGCGTGAAGTCGGCTCCTGTCACCACACACAGCATCTCCACCACACAGTGCAGCACCACCAGTTCCCAGCAAAAACCATACAACTCCACTGCTTCCCTTCAATCTGAGATTCCAGGAGGCTTGCAGCTGGTCAGCACTTATTTCCTTAAGCCAATTCTCTCTCTCTTTAGTTTAACAACTCATTTTTATAGCCTGGCCAATTCTGCAAAGCTACCCAAGTAAAAATGAACCATCAAGCAATCCCTGGACACCAAGACGCCCAAGACACCGGCTCCCGGAGGTTTGCAGCGCCCTCCTGGCTCTGCCCTGGCCATCGCCGAGGGAACTTACTTGTGTGGCCTGGCTGCCCAGGAGGCCCGGGGAGGCCGGGAGGACCCGGGAGCCCGTCCTTTCCACTGGGTCCGGGCAGAGACACGCCTGGGAATCCTCGGTCGCCTTTTTCTCCTCTGTCCCCGGGGAAGCCGGGAGGGCCAGTCAGCCCCGGGATGGGAAGGCCTGAAAGCAGCAGAGAATCTCACGTGAACACTGGAGCAGCAGCGCCCGGCTCCCTCTGCCTCTGCCCCAGGTACGAGGATGTCGCTGCCAGGGAACCACTCTGGACAGCACAACCAACCAGGCTGCAGGCTTGCAGCGCGCCAGGGCAGAGCACAGACGCAGTGGGCAGGGGGGACAGGAGGGCAGGGAGCCCCAGCGCAGGGTGCAGGCAGAGGACAGGGGGCGGCAGCCGGTGCCAGCAAAGGTGCACGGCGTCCTCCAGGCTGAGCACCCCACAGAACTGATGCGAGACTGAGGCGGTGTCAATAAACAAATATGAAAAGCCAGCACAGCGCCCTCCACAGGATGACAGGGGGAAGAGCGCGGCTGGGAATGAGGGCTGCCTCAGGTTCCCACCAAGCGGGAGAAAGAAAAGGAGCTGGGGAGAGATCAGAAATTAGAACCACCAGGCAGCAGAAAAAATGAAATAAAGATCACAAAAGATAAAAACAAGCTAAAAAATCAGCCAGACATGGTGGTATGTGACTGTAATCTCAGCCCTCTGGGAGGCTGGAGCAGGAGGATCATAAGGTCATCCTGGGCAGGTTGTGACTGAGCAAGATGCTATCTCAAAGTTAAAGTTTAAAAAGAAGGGCTGAGGGTATAGCTTAGCATGAAGGCCCGGGGTTCCATCCCCAGTGCCACCAAAAAAATGAAAAATAAAAACCAAGCTGAGCAAAAAGCTTCAGGCACGATGGTGAGGCTAAACTCTAGCACATAGACGTGTTCCCAGGCGACAGGGACCGCTGCTGAGCAGGGATGCTTGCACACTTGCACTGCACACGGGCCCTGCACACACACGCACATGCAAGGCCCGCCCTTGGGAGACACGACCCCCAGGAAATGCAAACTAGCACGCGTGAACCAGCCCTCAGGACTGCCACGCTGGGCAATGCTGGCTTCCCAGGAAAAGCGAGAGGGGCTAGGACAGCGGCAGGTGTCGCCCGGAGCATCCAGAGGGGCACGTGGGTAAAGACGCTCAGGGGGCATGCGCCTGCGCAGCAGCCAGGGTCTGCAGAAGCAGGAGGTCTTTGGCAGGGGTCTCCAGGGAGACGAGACCCCCACCCCTGCCACGAGCATCTGAACAACACCCTAATATACAACTTACAAACACAAAGCACTCATTTAGAAAAACGTGTAACACACCGCTGCCTATTTTATGCAAATGTCTAACATACGTGACGAATGTGCGTAACTGAAGCCTCCGAGAGGTCACACATACACACACACACACACACACACACACACACACAGGAGACTTGGCTGAGGTTCTCACCTGGGGGACCCGGCTGGCCTTGAATTCCGGGGTAACCTGGACAGAGAGGGCGGGAGAGTTGGCCAGTGTGAGAGGAGCATGCTTGCAATACTCCGCAGCACCCAGCTGGGGGCGCACATGGTACCCACGCTGGGGGGACTTAGAAGACAGCACAGCCCCACTGAGCTGTAAACAGCCAGCTCCAGAAGCCACAGGAGGAAAAGAGCCCAGGACGCCCACTGGGATGGTGAGGTCGGGCCTGACCCAACAGGCCCCAGACCAGACCTTCAGGGGATGGAGGAGGGGAAGGGGAAGGGGAATGGAGGGAGAAGAGAGGGTGAGAGTGAGCGGGCGGGCCCGCGGGACAGGTACCTTTGGGGCCTGGCTCCCCTCTGGGCCCGGGGGGGCCTGGGTAGCCGCGGTCTCCTTTCTCCCCCAGAGGCCCAGTGCCTATGACCTGAGGAAGAGAAGCAGACGTCACCCTCAGCAGGGGATCGGGGCAGAGCGGGTGAGACATGAACACACTTTTACTGTGTCAAGAAATGCAAAGCAAAGAGAAGGCGTCTTGGAAGCCCGCAGGGACGGGACTGTGCCCTGATGACCTCGGAGCCACGGTCCCTTGAGCTCGGCATTGGAACCAAGCGCACCCACGAGCCCAGGGCCACAGCGGGGGGGCCCCTGTGGAGTCCTCAGGCTCACACCACCAGGACACCCATGCTTTTCATTGCAATGAGTTTTTCTGCTTTTTGCTTTTTGCTTTTTCTAAGGACCAAAAGTGGGCACTTCTTTGAAAGCCCAACGATACCAGCTAAGGAAGTGTCACTAAAAAGGAGAAACTTGCTCACCAGCACTCTGACCTACCCAAATCCAAACAAAGGGCAACTCAAGCGCTGCATTTTACCTTTGAAACGGAATGTCTCTGTACCGCTGACTTCACGAGTGCTGTTAAAAGGTTGTGTTACAAACAGCCTGACATAGCCACGCTGTCGCACACACCTACGTCAAAGTGCCCCACAGCCACAAGCATCTGCGATCTCTACTTGTTGATCAAAAATGAATGAGCTAAAACCCTTTAGTGTAAAGAAAGACAGACAGGAGGTGCTGGCTGGACGGAGGTGAGAACAGGTCCTCCGGCCCAAAGTGGGGGTTAGAACTGGGTGGAGGGGCCACAGGGTGTGGGGTAGTACCCAGGCAACAAGGGAGATCCAGTAATCCCACTCCTGGAAACGCAGCCCAAGGAAGAGGACTCGGGCCCCAGTCCCCGCCCTACACACAGCGCGCGCACACACACACACACACACACACACACACACACACACGCACGCGCTCCACGCGGCTCCGCGAGGACCCGCAAATGGGGTCTTCACTGCACAGCGCTCTGATGGGAAGATGATCACTGCGAACTGAAGAAGGTTCATTTCCAGAAAACGTACTGCACCTCAGCTGTGGGCGGGCAAGACTATGACGTGGGTGAAGGCTTATTTGCACCGACAGCCAAATTATGGGCGATCTGTTTCTGTTACTAAAAAGCTCCTCAGTGGATAGTTCAAAACAAACAAAAAAGGTTTCAAAATATGCTGCTAACATTATCCACACACAAACCTTCTCGTGCCCACAGGTTTAAGGCTATGCAGAGATTATCGGAATACAACGAAAATAGCACAATACCAACGCCAGGGTTATTTCAAATGACATGCACCCGGCGCACACGCAAATGTCACTTGGGGGACAGCCCTGGGCACGTCCCACGGCACCGCACACAGACACCCAGCGCCCCATACTCACAATCCCGGGTGCGCCAGGAGGACCAGCTTCGCCTTTGTCTCCCTGCAAAGAGAAATGACGTGACTTGCCCGTTTCTCCTAACGCCAATCCTCTCGCAGACCTCAGGGCTCGGCTACTTCTGCTGGTGACTTGGAGACTGGGTCTGCGACCCCTAACACTGTCCTTTCCTCAGCATCTGCCACCTGACTGGCTCACGGTGCGTTGTGATTACGGAGCAGAATGTTTCCCCTTGAGTTCAGAGCTTTCTTCACAGGCAAAATGAGCACACCCCCAGGCGGACTCACTGCAAAGGTGCAGCTCAGGTCTGTGTGAGCACCTACCTTGATACCGGGCTGGCCTGGGAGCCCTGGGTACCCCGAGTCGCCGGGGAAGCCCTGCAAGGAGAAGGACAGAGGCAGGCGTCAGCGAGTGACCGGACAGAGACTGAGCCTCCAGCACCCGCAGAGGAGACTTACCGGACTCCCCCTCTCCCCCTTCTCGCCGTCTTTTCCTGGCTTCCCCTGTGAAATGAAAACGCCAGCGTCAGTGTCTCAGAAGTGACAATAACCAGACCTCACACCAAAGCTCGGCTTCAGGGCCACACACACGCACAGCACACCGCCGCTCTCCTCAGCCACCGTGCTGCCGGCTTCGCGGGAGCTCTCCCCTGTGACTCGGGGCCCCGGAAGTGCCCCAGGTGACAGCAGCTTCTGATTACACCCCTGGCCTGTGGCTGTGTCTCAGAGCTGGACCACAGCAGCGACCGTGAGAACCCAGCACCTGTCCACATGGGCCACAAGGGCCGGCCCTGCTCCCCATGGCAGACCCACGGCTCATCCTCAGTGGGGCCCTGGCACACGGGTGGTCCAAGCCTTCCAGGGACAGCGGTCAACCAGAAGGCCCTGCAGACTTGTGCTCCTTGCACAGCTGTGTTTCAGGATTGGAGGGTGAAGGGCTCCCAGGGCGGGCGGAAGGAAAGGTTTCGGAAGCACTTACTCGAGGCCCTGGCTTTCCGGGTTCGCCCTTCTCCCCGACGCCTGGCATTCCCTTTAGAGGACAGAAGAGACGGGAAACAAGCTTGCAGTCCAGCCCAGTCCTCTCTGGTCTTTTACATAAAAGCGAGGACAGTGGGAAGGCACTGAGAACGCACCTGAAATCCAGGCTCCCCCTTCTGACCCTAAGGGGTTGAGAGAGACAGGAATCAGTGATGCGTACCGTCTCCATCGCTTTCCGACCGTGGAAAAGGAAGCGCCTCTCCCGGTACCACATTCGCCAAGGATGCACCCCGGTCTCCCACACTCCCCCGGGTCCCCGAGGACGGCGCAGCCCCACGGTGACTGGCCCAGCCACCCCCGCCATGGCCCGTCCCAGGGAGGGACACATGTAACCACGCTTCCCTAGGCGACTCAGCGCCAAGTCAGCCTGGGCGGGCCAACTCTGGTGCCTCTGCCGCAGAGCTGCTGCACTGCACAGAGAGGGGGAATCCAGCCGGAGGGGCTGAGCCTTCACCTCAGAATGGGGGTGAAGAATTCCCGCAGAATTCCCCCCAATCAGAGTCCTGCGTCCTCTGGCGCAGCCTAGCGTACCTTTTCTCCCGTCGGAGCGAAGCCGCCTTTCTCCTTCACCTGCGCCTGGCCAGGTATCCCCGGAGGCCCGCTGACGCCCTGCTCACCCTGTACGCGGGAGAACAGGTTAACGAGGCATGCAGAGAAGGACGTGTGTGCAAGCCACACGGAAACGCTTATTTTTAAATGTAACTGTCCCCCATTCCAGCACAGCCCAGCAGGGACCCAGAGCAGGCAGACAGCGCCCTGGGCTGGGGCATCGGGACCCTGCAGGCACCGGGCACCAGGGCACTGTGGCATCTCAGGGATGCAGGGGATGGGTTTGCAGCTGTCCCAGTGCTTGGCAGAGGAGGAGGCATTTTCAGGTTGGATAAAATCAGGGCAGCCAGGGACCTCCTCGCTCAGGCAGCTGACAGCTGGGATGGCTGGAGGTGGTGTGAAATCCAGCCACAGAGAATGAGCGAGGCCCAGGGTCAGGGCAGCATGAACCTCAGGCTCCCTGTGCTGTGGGGGTCCGGGATGGCTGGGCCAAAACCCAGAGGCGGACGCGAGGCCGCTATCCAGCCGTGTCCAGGCCCGCGCATTTAGGGCCAGCCATGGCAGCTGCCAGGACAGCAACCGCAGGGAGGCCCTTGTGCGGGTGCCCAGTCCTCCTTCTGCCAGGACAGCAGAGGATCAGGGACCTTCCGCAACCCTCGCCACAGGTGCCCGACTGGTGCTGAGCCCTCCTGCTCCGTGCCACAGTCCTCCATGCCAGCGGGTCCCTGGAGAGCCCAGCACAAGTGTGTTCCAGCCTCTTCTGCCCCTGCAGGGCTGCACAGAGCGCCCCCGCGGCCGGGCCCTACATTTCACCCTGGTGGTGAGTTCAGGTCTAGTATGTACGGATGAGGATTGAACCCACGAGCAGGCAGCCAACGCCAGCAGCTCTGGGCGGTCCCTGCTGGGCAGGTGACGGGCTGGGCACTGCGGTGGCCCCCGACTATTCTGTAAACTGAGGGAACCTAATTCCAGCAGTTTAAGCAAAACCCTGTCCCGCACAAGACCACTCAGAGAGCGCGCTGTGGGCGGGGGAGTTCTTCTGCGTGCCGGGCCTTGTCTCTGAGTACTCACCTTGTCACCTTTCGGCCCTTGAAAACTCGAACCCATCTGCCCCTGTGGACGAGAGAGTTGGCTTCATCGTGAGCTCACCACACGCCTGCCGGGACAGGTGGCACGGAGAAGACGGCGGGTCCCGAGGGATGACCGGGAGGTGGGGGCGGTGGAGGGATGCGTGCGGAGCGGACAAGGGCCATAGACGGCTGACGTGGTGACAGACACAGAATACGTGACAGGACAGTGACACATAGACGACAGGCAAGTGCCAAGAGGGCAGATGGACACTGCAAGACAGTGTCCAAAACTCCTTACAGCAACATAAAGATGAGTCACGCAATTCCATGACAGTTAGCAAAGCCCCAGAGGAAAGGACAGGAAAAATATCTTTACCTTTTCGCCTGGAGGGCCAGGAGGGCCCGGGGGACCCTGCAAGAAAGAACATTCTAATTAAGCAGGATTCACAACCCTGGTTCGCTGCGATTCTTTGGCTGAAGTTGTCCTACAATAAGTTGTCTGTGAAGTACCTTCCCTGCGGTATGGAACCGCTAAACTGTGACAATAACCTAAAAGTGGCCAGGACAGTTCTTAGCACCACTGGAAATGCCTCAAAATCCTCCACATGGCCCTGCAGGCGTCAGGAGCCTGGCAGGTCCAGACCACGCCTGACGGCACCAGCCGGCTGTGCGGGAGCAGGGTCCCCTCGGGGATGGTGCTGGGCCACGTTAGATGGAAGTGTTCGCGGAGGAAGCTGGTGGCTCTTCAAGGGAACAGGCGGCAGCAAATTCAAAAAGGTTCCTTGGGGCTGGGGATTTTAGCTCAGCGGCAAAAGCGCCTGCCTGGCAAGCGCAAGGTCGTGAGTTCGGTTCCCGGTACCGGAGAAAAACCAAAAAAAAAAAAAAAAAGGTTCCTTTGTTAGCAACAAATTTCAGAATGCCTTTTACACACATTTTAAGAAGGAAAAGTGAGCCGGGCATGATGGCACACGCCTGCAATCCCAGCACTCGGGAGGCTGAGGCAGGAGAATCCTTGTGAGTTTGAGACCAGCCAGGGCTACAAAGTGAGCTCAAGGCCAGCCTGAACTGCATAGGGAGAGCCTGTCTCAAAAAGACAAAAAATAAAAAGTAAAAAAAAAAATAAAAAAATAAAAAGGAAAAGCAGGTGGTTCTTTCCCGTAAAAATGAGTCCATTTATTTACAAAAATATGAAAGAGGCTAATTTACATGCAGGGACAGAATATGAACTTCTAGATTTTATCATTAAAAAGAAGAAAACAAGTAGATTCCAAATACAAGCTGAGGAGCCCAGTGTGGTGGTGTAGGCCTGCAATCCCAGCACCCAGGAGGCTGAGGTAGGAGGATCACTGTGAGTTTGAGGCCAGCCTGGGCTACACAGAGAGCTCAGGCCCACCCTGAACTACACAGTGAGCCTCTCTCAAAAAAAGAAAAAGCTGAGAACGTCTCCAACGGACGCTCAGCCGCTGTGCTGAGGACGACACGCTCAGGCGATCCTCCCACCTGGGCACACTCGGCCCTCATGACCACGGCTCATTGCCACCGACCTCCTGGGGCCTCAAACCACGGGTGTGGAGAGGCCGCCCCTCCTCTGAACAGTGGCTATGCGAGGGGCCAGGCTGAGGCAGCTGCCGCAGGGTCCCGCCCAGGCATCGCTGCTGGCCGCTGGGCGCTGCATCTTCACTCCGGCCCAGCTCCGGGCGCATCTCTACACCCCAGCGTCCTGCGGGAGGGCGACCCTGGCCATCCTCCCCGCCTGCAGCACTCCCGTACCCCAGCAGTCCTGCCAGTGGCAGGGACATGCTGGGGACGCTCGGCACACCCTGCCATCAGTGTCCCCTCCCTCCTCAGCTCTGGGTGGAGACCCAGCCACGAGAGAGAAGCTGGTGCAGCCCCCACCGCCGTCAGCGCCAAGTCTCCACTGACCCCCTTTATCCCCACAGCTCCACCCAGCCTCAGAGGGGCCCCCAAAACTCACTGGTGGTCCGGTAAATCCCGGGGGGCCCACGGGTCCCTGGAGCCCTGGCAGTCCTGGAGCGCCCTGTCATTGAACAGAGGGGAGGGATCAAAAGGCCAGCCGCAGTGACCCCGCCCCGGGAAGGCAGCTCAGCGGGCGCTTACGGGCATCCCCGGGGGTCCCTGGAATCCACGTTCGCCTTTCAGCAGCATCCCAGGCACATGGCCAAGTATCTCCCCCGGGTCCCCCTGCGGGACGGGAAGGAAGAGAAAGCTGTCAGTAGCCGCAGCTGTGCCTTCAGAATCTAAAACCCACGGAGCCAGGCGGGCTTCCCCGGGCTGGCGCTGAGGCCGCTAAGTCTGAGCTGACACAGTGACCGGCCCCGGCCCCTGCGGGTGCTGAAGACAGAGAGGCGACGGGCAGGACGTGCGACCAGGTGCCCGTGACCGCACATCAGGACTGCCGCTGGGGAGACTCGGTGCTCATCTTTCCAAAAGCAGGACGAGACAGTCGACGTTGCCTGTCAGCTCGGCTAGGGGGCGTTATTTGGTTCAACAATAGTTGAGATGCCGCCAGGAAGGTGTTTTCAAATGGAATCGACCTTTAGATCCACTGATCTAGCAGGCGGCCCCACCACGGAGGCCTCGTCCAAGCAGTGGAGCCCCAAGAGCACACAGGGCGGCCTCCCTGGAGGAAGAGGACACCGCCTGCACAGACGGCGGCCGGCCTTCCCTCGCCACTCCACACGCCCAGGCGCCCACCTCCCCGCACAGCAGGGAGCCAGAGTGTAAAGTGAGGCCACTGACAGCAGGGAAGACGGTGGTCCCGGCTCATGGCTCCCTCCTCCGGCCCCCAACCCGCGACGGGCTGGGCACAAAGGAGTCGCTCCGACACCAGGCCCCACAACGCCTGTCCCTGTGCTCAGGGGACAGTGGGCCGGCGACAGGCTGGGCAGTGCTGGAGGAGTGGATGGAGAGGAGCGGGGAAAGGAGGAAGGAGGAGGGAGGAGAAGCAGCGTGTGCAGTTTCCCTGCAGTGGAGACAGAATCCACAGAAAACCCGGGCAGGAGGGCCTGGGATGGCCCTGTACCGGTGACGGAGTGACGGCCAGGACCACCCCAGCCTCATGGACACCGCCCAGCTCGGCATGGCCAGGGCCCTGGACACGGCGTCCTCCCGGGCAAGGACCGCACCGGGGCTAAGGCTGGACTCTTAAGTCCATGTCCATGACTCAGCTACTCCACATTAACAGAGCCTGAGAGAATGTGCTAGAAGGCAGAGAGTCCACAGAAGGGATCTGAGGTGGTCCGCTTTCACCGGATTCCCTCTGAGGAATGGGTAAAGCACCAAAATGAAGCCTACCTTCATTCCTGGGAGCCCTGGTGGTCCCTAGAAAAGAAAGTTCTGGTGTTAGTTTTGTTTTTCTGAAAATATCATTAGCATTAAGACAGAAGGCCCAAAAAATGGAAAGAAATTATAAGTAAAGAAAGGGTTCCCGGCTCCGAGAAGCCCCTACTCACAGGATTTCCAGTGAACCCAGGCAAGCCGGGTGGCCCGACAGGTCCTCTCTCACCCTAGGGGACAGCAGAGAGTCACTCACATCTGTGACAGTAAAGACAGTGTCCCCCCTGCGCCCATGACAGCTCTGTCCTGCCTCTTGGAGTACTGCACTTTCTAGTGCAGAATCATCCCTACTGCACGAGCTCTGTGACTGGTTGTCACCCTACGAGTGCGGAGTGTACTTGACATGATTGATAGGGATGACAACTCTTAATACCGTTTTCTTCCTGACTTAATAATTGATTACAGCTAATGAACTCCGTGCTCGATAGGATTTTAGGGTACAAGTCTACACAAGAGTCAGGCAGGATTCACTCTTTCCTGTGTGTTAAATCTGTATGAGAAAACATTTTTAATCCAACGAAGAAAGCTTCAAGACAAGTAGCTTTCCAGGGCTGGCAAGTGGAGGGGAGCGCTTTGCCTGGCTTCTCCCCGCGCTGGTAAAAGGGGAGGGAAGGCCCTGGCTCTGCACCTACCTTTGTGCCATTGCATCCTGGGATTCCCGGGGGCCCTGGTGGACCATCCTGGCCGGGGATACCCTGTAATTCACCAAGCACAGGAGCCAAGGTAAGACTCTCACAGATGTAAAAGTACTTCATGACAGGGCGGAGTGCATTTCAGATACTTACCGGAAGTCCTGGGTTCCCAGGGTAACCAGATGCTCCTGGGGGTCCCTGTAAGGACAGAAACAAAAGCCTTGTGATGAGCCCGGGGCCCCCTCATGGGCCCTGCCCAACCCACTCAGTTCCTGGCATCATAGAGTAACTGTGGAGGTTAGCCCACACCCGTGAGCAGACAGCATGCTGGGAGAGCGGCTAGCGCCACCCCGGGCAGCAGATGGCCCGGGGCAGCGGGAGCAAGTCTACATCCACAGCTGACTGGGAGCTGCTCCAAAGCTCAGGACGCACGTGCACAGCGTGATCCCGCCCACTTCGCCTTGTGTTATGTCCAGATTAAAAATAACATAAAATCCCCGCTGCTCTGACATTCGAGGAGTTCAAGGGATAAAGTCCAAAGTTCACTGGGGGAGAACCCTCAACACTGTTCTAGCAGAAATCTCTGTCCTAAACAGTCCTCACCCTCTGCCTCAGAGCCCCCAAAGAGCCCCAAGGCCCCAGAGGCAAAGCCACCACTGTACTCACTCGTGTCCCTTTTGTGCCGGGAAGCCCTGGTTCCCCAGTGTCCCCCTGCAACAGAACAAGATGTCGTCACAATGGCGCATTACCCCGAGAATGGCAGGACCCAAGCCCCTGCCCCGTGGTGCCACCAAGCTCACCTTCAGTCCTGGGGGTCCATGCGGCCCCTCGGGCCCTTGCATTCCAGGAAACCCAATGACACCTTGCAGGCCTGGGAGGCCTCTCTCTCCCTGCAGGAAGGACACACGTGTCACACAGAGGCCGGGTAAGGGGAGGCAGCGGGCAGGTTAGGAGCCATGGTGCCCGGGCTGGGGGAGTCTCCATGGCGGTAGAGTGGCCCTGGTGTGTCTTCGAGGTGCTTCTGGAAGAGATGGCACCTGAGCCGGGCCCTGGGTAAGGAAGACCCCTCCGCTTGCACACCACCTGAGCGGACACCCTGTACCCACAGAAAGGCGGAGAAGAGCACATTGTGTCTCCCCCAGAGCTGGGACACCTGCCTTCCCCAGCCTGGAGTCACAACCCCAGCCTCACACTCAGGGGTTTGCACAGAGGGCCCCCAGTTTCCCTGGCCCTAGGGCTTAGACTGAGCGACACCACAGGCTTCCTTGGGCCTCCAGGTTGCAGGTCACAGATGGTAGAATTCTGCTGCCTCCAAAATTATAGTTCCCATAATAAATTCCTGCTTGTCCACACAACCATTCACCTATCCATCCATTCACCATCCATCCTTCCTTCTATTCATTCATCCATCCATTTATCCACCCATCCACCCTTCCATCCATCCTTCTATCCATCCACCCTTCCACCCATCCTTCTATCCATCCTTCCTTCCATTCATCCATCTACCCATCCTTCCTTCCATCCATCCATCTATCCGTTAATCTACTATCTATCCATCCATCCACCCTTCCATCCATCCTTCCTTCCATTAATCCATCTATCTACTCGTCCGTCCATCCATTCATCCATCTATCCTTCCTTCCTTCCATTCATCCTTCCTTCCATCCATCATCTATCTACTATCTATCCATCCACCTATCCATTCATCCTTCCTTCCTTCCATTCATCCATCTACCAATCCATCAGTCTACTTATCTATCCATCTACCCTTCTTTCTTTCTACAAATTCTTTCTCTGTTCATTCTTCCTTTCCTTCCATCCATCCATCTTTCCAGCTATCCTTCTTTCCACCCATCCATCCACCCATTCATCCACCCTTCCTTCCGTCTACCCATGTATCCTTCCTCCCGTCGTTCCTTCTTAGCTCCTCTCCTCTCTCTCTGCCTCTCTCCCTCCAGCCTTCCTTCTTCCAGTCCACTCCACTGGCTCTCCTCTCCATGACCCTGACTACAGCACTGCCTTTCTAAGCACGCTGGACACGGCACTAGTCTGAGGTGTGTGTCTGAAGACAGATGTTGGGTCCTATTCCAGGAGTCTTGCTCTATCTTAAGCCCTTGAGGGCCTGAAGTATTTTTATGTGATAAGACTTTATCAAAAGACTGGCAAAAGACTTCACTTTTATGTGATTACGTGCTGGGTCATTCTGTGTCTGGTGCTTTTCTCTGAGATGTGTTGGTGCCAAGTATTATGTAACAGAAATGCTTCACCCCCAGACAGCAGGTTAGCAGGACTCACTGCAGAGGCGGTCACCGTGACATCAGCAACCTGAAGCAACCAAGAGCGTGCGAGGTTGCCCTCTGCCAAGCCACCAGCCGGTCCTGGCTCTTACGGATGGGTCTTGGCCCACAGCGCAGTCACGAGCTGGAGACACCCGCCACTGCCGCCACAGGGCGACGTCTACCCGGAGTGCAAGTCAGGGTCCAGAAGCCACTTGGGAATAGACCAGGGTGGGGACTTCAGACTCCAGGGGTGGTAAAGGACTGAAGGAACGTTAGCCCTGTGGCCTGGTGCCCCAGGGGCCCTCGCAGATGTGACACCGGAAGCTGGCTCTGTCTCCCTGCAGCCTTGGGAACACTGGGGAGGAGAAACATTTCAGGCTGAAGGTTCCCGCAAAGGGAGGGCGATTCGGATGTGCTCATCCTGAACAGGACAGCAGCAGCAGCAACTCGGCCAACACAGGGCCACGGGGCACGGGCGCCAGACGGGCACCAGGTTTTCAGACGTTGGAAAATCTTTCTCAGAACTGACCTGCAAACAGCTGGCCAAACCCTGAAATAAATCCTGAGTCGCGTGTTCCCAAATAACCCGCCGTGCGCTACAGCAGGAAGGAAACGAGAAGCCGCGAGCTTTCCAGTGCCTTGGGTGGGGTGGTTTGGGTACTTGGTTAGTGTTGGCAGTATCACAAGGAGGCAGGGGAGATAAGGTTCTATAATTCTCATTCTGATGGCGGAATGCAGGGGACCAGGGCCAGGCGAACTGACTTCGACCAGCTCCTCAGTGAGTCAGCACAGAAGCCAGAAATAGAAATGAGGTCAGCCCACACTGCGTCCGCTTTAATGGGTCACTGGAGCAGGCTGTTCCCAGCGGCGGAGTTCCAGCCCGGGGCGGTGGCCCTTTTATGTCCATTTCACAGATAGGGCAAGTTCGACTCCAACGCTGAGCTGTCTGGTCACACATCACCACGGTGACCTCCCCGCCCTGGGAACGGAGCCGGAGCTCTGAATTCCCAGACCCGCTGTCACAGAAAGAACACACCCTTTCCCAAATGTCACGGGAGCGCTGCGGCAACCACATCCCCCAAGCGCTCTGAAACGAAGCAGCTTCGGAGGAGTGAGCCCGCCCCGGACATGACCCTGGCCCCGCCAGAAATCTCAAGTTTTCCAAATCTCTGTGCAGAGAAGCAGCCAGTGGTCTCCCACCGCGGCCCTCAGGATGGGAACCAGGTGGGGCCGAGGGCCAGGGGAGATGCTTAGCCAGCGTGGGGCCTGCACCAGACGGGCACAGATGTCCTGCCAGCTTCCAGCGGCGCCCGTGGGAGGCAGGAAGAGCAGAGAGCAACGCCTGCCAGTGACGGTCATCGGTGTCAGCGTCTCCAGGCCGGGCTGTGTCCACCCTGACACCAGGCAAGGAGAAGAGGACTGGGGTCACGGGCACCATGGCGCCCCAAAGGCCAGGCCCAAGGACGCGGCCACCAGAGGATGCGGGCCAGGAGAACGAACACCATGACACCACAGCAAGGACAGGGCAGGACGGGCTCAGAGCGCAGCGGGGAGGGGGCGCACAGGCCCAGGCTGGGTCCCCAACCCCGGGAAAATAAAAATAAAAACAGAGGAAACCACAGATGGAGAGAGAAACTTGTCCAAGAGCATGCAAAATGTTTTGATGCAGTTGTGTTTGTGATTTCGAGGTTGGCCAAATAAAACTGGGTTCCCGCCACGGAAATGAGAGCCACTGAAGTGGCTGAGTTGCCCCTTACCCTGAGCTGAACCTCAAACCCTGCATGTGTGCAACAAATGACCTTACTGTACCCAAAAAATGTGTTCCCATGTCATAGTTCAATAAATAAGCCAAACACACAAACCTTTCATCCCCAAAGTCATTTTAAGTATATGTAAAATTTAAAAGTTAAATGAAGTCTTTTTAAAAATCTACAAAGAGCTGGCCATGGTGGCACATGTCCCAAATCCCAGCACTCAGGAGGCTGAGGAGGGACAATCACCCCGAGTTCCAGGCCAACCTGGGATACACAAGCGTTCAAGGGCAGCCCAAACTACCTAGCGAGATCCCGTCTCAAAACAAAAGAAAGAAGTTTTACACACCAAAAGCAGAAGTGATTACTGCTGTCCTAAAAATTCAGGATTTGAGGAGGAAGCAGCAAATGCCTTTGTCCATAAAGATGAAGGGACACAGCACGGCACAGAGGCTTGGGCTGAAATTAGCCGTTGTACATCAGGCACGGAATGGACTTTCATGCACGCAGCAGCCTAGACGGTTTGCTTACCATATTATCTGCAGCAAGAATACACCTCAAAGCATCCCTAAAGTGTGGGAAGAAAAGGCTCTTTTACAGTCCCCATCACTGCCCCTCCTCTTACACTATTTATGGAAATGTTTGTGTCTCCCTTGATACCCGAGTCAGAAACGCAAACACAAAACTCGAGCCCCGAGGAGCCACAGGCACACGGAGTTTCTGAACCGGAGGGATGCGCTTACCAACACCGACTGTTCTGTGTGAACACCGAGCATATCTACGCCACGTGGCTACCAGACATTGCATCGTCACAGGCCATCCGTGCCGTTCCAGCGGCCGCTGCGGAGCTCGTGTTGACTTAAATCAAAGCTTGAACTGATTTCCCACTCTGCGAGGTGCATGACCGTGGATCTCACGGGGCACAGCGGCCCCGGGGTCCCCGCCGCACAGGGACCGGCCACCGGAGGGGCAGCTGCCTCCTGGGCTGGCTCAGGCCTCCCCACTGCCCGCAGTCAGGGATGTGGCCCGTCGGGGACACAAGGTGAGGCGAGGCTGTGCGGCCGCGTGTGCGTGTACCGGCTCTGCACTCACCGGGCCTGCGGAGCAGCGAGCGCAGCAGTCACCCAGCCTGCGACACAGCCCAGAGGCTTGCGGGCAGCGCGACCCTGGCAGGATGGGGTCCTGGTCTCCACCCAGGCCAGGCGCTCTGGGCACCAGTGGGGCCCGGCGGGTGTCCCCAGCAGGGAGAGCTCTGCCCTGGGTGCAGTCCTGAGTCCGCTGTGTCCTTCTGCCCTCTGCGGCCTTGAGAGCCCAGCTTCCAGGCCAGGCTGCGGCCCTCTGAGGGAACGGGGCTCTCGCTGCTGGAGCCAAGCTTGCCCGGCGCTGGGGGTGCAGACCGACCCCGGGGACAGTCACAGGCAGCGGTGCTGCCACCCCGGCCAAGCATCCCTGCAGGCCCTGGGCCCAGCCAGCCTCAGACCCGCGCAGGGCATTTCCAGAGGCGACACTCCTGGGAAGCAGCGGGCAGGCCGGGCCCACCTCGCGGGTCACGGAAGAGCTCAGTGATGAGCCCCAAGGGCAGCATGGTCCGCACCCTGAGCCTGGCGTCGGGGGCAGGCTGGCGGGCAGGGGAGCAGCCGTTTATAAGGGCAGACGGGGCATCCCGCCTCCTTTGTGCGGCCGAACTGTAAATGTGGCTGCGTCCTCTCGCGAATTCAGTTTGAGTCAAAGGTCATCTCCTCCTGCTCCCGGCGTCACTCCCGCGGCCGCGGCACCTAAGCATTTCCTATGCAGCCGAGGCACTGGGGCGGCTGCCAACCTCCGCCCCTCCCACACCACCTCCTCTCAGCCCCAACTGGG